GCAGATGATGTCACCAAGAGGGAGCGTATAAGATATTGAAGAGCAAGGACAAAGCCCTGAGGGACACCGCATGAGACGGTGCGGGAGCTAGAGGGGAAACGGTTTGTGACGATGAAGTGGAGGCGGTGTGAGAGGTACGATCTTGAGAGAGTAACTGCTTTCTTGAGAGAAAGAGAAATGTTTGGGGCAGTAAGCAGAACACATTCAAATGTTAAACTATGCCATTTACTGCCAAATATACACAAGTGGATGCTTTGTTCTGCAATGGCCATGTCTCTATTTTCAGCTTAGCAGTTGCAATTGGGGGAGAAAAAAAATTCCCCTGGACAGCTGTTTTTTTTAAAAAAAGCAGCTTGTATGAACAGGCCAAACAGAGCAAGATGGTTTTGATGTATGTATTTTCGATGGTACTTCTTTATAGGGTTTTTCAAATATACAGTCAATTTACAGCATATTCTGTGAAGCGCTTTGAGACATCGAGAAGATGTGAAAAGCGCTATATCAAATGCAAGTATTATTATTATAGCATTTACATACAAATTAATCTCTCTCTGTCCAAGGAAAGGCATTGTTTTATTCTGAATTGTGTTATAGGTTCTACATTTGGCTTGCCAAGCTCTTTTTTATGGTATCTCCGCCTGTATTGTCTATATATTGTTTTGTTAAACATTTCAAATGGGTGTGTGCAAATCTTTTAAAGGGACGTTACTATTGTTTGAAATGGAATATAATATTGCCCAACTGCTGATTGCATCCTGCTTTCTTTCAGTGCCATTTAGCTTTGTAATGTTCCATTATTTCTTCACACTTTTGATGCACGGTTTCTTGTTCCAGTGGGCTGTGCAGGCAAAATACAATTGTCTTTGATCTTGTTGGGCACAAACCATTAGTCCAGGTTCACAGTATAACTTGCCCAGTTTGTGCCTGCAATTAGTAGCTTAATTTCAAATTTTCACCACAATAAAGATTTTCAGAGAGACAGAACAGTTTACTCTTTATTCTGCCTTTATCGCCATTTAGTTTTCACTCATTGACCAAATTAGTTAATTTTTCTTAATTAAAATTTTGATTCATTTGTCAAGCATCGTTCCCAGTTTAGTGAAGGCAGCTGTCTGCCGGTCTTTCGTCAGTGTTTCTCGGTAAATTAGGAAATTACTCTCGCTAATGATTTTTTTTCTCTCTCCATTATGACCCAGAAGTAACTTGCCCAAATGGCCACTATTCATATGGAGCCTTGACAGTGATTGCTCGTAGACTTTTCAACAGCAATAGGCATCACAGCTGAGCCAACTCCTGTCCTTGTGTGATGTCTACGCTTGCCTGGTCCAGAATGAGCAGCTGAACATTCAGTCAAATTTAACACAGCAGTCTTCTTCCACAGTAATGTTCCTTCATACTGTACAGGGATAGGCTTTAGCCATTGGAGTACTGACCACATTTCTATGTAAAATGAATCTCAATTGTTTTGTGCAAATCGTCCGTTTTTGAATGTTGTAACTTAGGTTTATCTGGAGATACTGGGCCGAGTAGTGTGAAAAACTGGATCGTTTCTAAATAGGAAGGTTAGATTCATCTTGCTGAAGCTGCATATTTATTTGTTCTCACTGTGGCCCTAGCAGCAATTCCTGTATTGTTAGTCTCTAAAACACACCTGTGGAAAGGTTGAGTTGAAGGTAACCATAATCTCTGTGTCAAGACAGAGGCTGAAGCCAAGAGGAAGGGACCTCTAGAGCTGAAGAGAACTTCCTGCTGTTGAACAGTATAGAATGTTGTATTACATTTTAATTAACTGATTAATCTTAAAGATACAGTTAGTAACTAACTCCGTTGTGTGGATGGTGATGTTGAAGCGGATAAAGCTTGCAACTCGGGTATAAGGTTTTGAAGGAGATTCTAATGTGATGATGCAGTATAATCAGCTCATTCTGCTTGTGTTTGTTTTGGAAACTCTGTTCTATGCAGCTGCATATAAGACCATTGATTTAGCCATGCACTGATATTGCTAAAGCCTCTCTTGGCCGCTTTGGCAAATAAGTTGCGGTAGTTTTTCTTAATGTCACAGCAGATAGAGAGCAAATGAACAGAGCACAGCTGCTAGAGCTTTAATTGACATCTAAATTTCTTTTATAAATTTGTAAATAATCTTCACTTGTCTTGACATGTCATTGCCCAAATAATGTCTGAATGTTCCATAATTAGGGATAGACCACTTCTCAATCTCATTGAGCATCACTAAATGTGATATAAAATCAAAGTAAGAAAAAAAACAATCTTCAACAAGCTAAATTGCTTTGAAATTTTTTGATTTGTTTTGAAAAGAGAGAAGGGTTCAACTTGGCCAATCTTTCAGTGATCCAGTGAAAGGTGCCACAGATTTATGTTTTCCTCTCCGAGTACTGACTCTGCTTTGGCATACCTTCAAAAATGTGTGCGTTCATGTTTTGAACTTCCAAAATAGTTTAAAACTATTGTGAGCAACACCAGATTCTGGTTTGAACAGCTCAAATATTAAGCTTTGTGTAGCTGAAGCTGTATTACTCTGACTTGACTTCTTTTTTTTATTCAGCTTTTATCTTAAGTATTCTCTTTTAAATTACATTTTGGTGTAATAATTCAAGAGACGCTTTTTTTTAAAAAAAGGGCAAAGTCTGATCATTTAAGTCTTTGACCTCAACTTCTTAAATAAAATAAATTGCTGTGTGCGCATGTATGGTAAAGGGGGAGAGGGGTGGCTTTGATTCAGCACCTCCCTTCCGTGGCTGAAATCTGCAACTCCAAAGATTGAGGATGAAACTACTTCATCACTATTCCACAGTGCTGCACAGTACTCCAACAAACTGTGTCACCACAGAGAAGCATTTCTACTGTGGAACATTGTGAAAACTTTACTTAATTTCCTTGAAGGATCCCAGTTTCTAGTTGCTTTCACACAGTTGCTTGGTTGATTTGCTCCTTTTTGCGTGTATTGCAAAACACGCAGTATGCAACCGTGTTCCAGTCTATTATTGTCACTGTGATAAAAACTTTGTAAATCAAATCAAAGTTCATATTTCAGCATACTGTAGCTTATGCAGTGTTTCAATTTAATCTAAAATGTATGAAATATTGTTGATCACAGTTTAGTAGCTACAGTAAAAGGAATACACATTCCTCTTCTTAAAAGAGCATTTTGCCCACAAAATACACAATCAATTCACTTTATAGCATATTCTGTTCAGCGCTTCGCGATGTCTCAAAGACACGATAAGGCATTATATCAAATGCAACTATTATTATTATAAAAATGTGCCTAATATTCTGAATTCTCCAGTTTTTCATTATTCACTGTCATTCTGTCATCTCTCTAAGATTGGCCTTTTAAAAGCAATTTAGATGATCTGACTCGAGCCTACCACTCATTCTGTCTTAACCAAACAATGTGATGCACCATTCTGGCTGCTTTAAAGTGCTTTTACTTTTGCTGTCCATGCATGAGCAACATTGAGGACTCTTGATTTGATTCAAAAACCCTCCAGGGTATCTTTCAAACTGATTTACACCAGTTTTGTCACTTTTATGTTGAGCCTTGGAGCTATAATCTAAGCAGAGCTTTCATATTTGGTGTCCAATTTCTGTAGCGTTCCTCTGGAGGGGGAGGGAATTTCTGCATTCTTACCTACCACTTTCTCAGTGACTCACCAATGTGGAAATGCATACTTCAGCAGGATTTTTTGAAAGTAATCCATTTTATCATGGCAGTACTGGAATGGCATTAGATGAGAGAGAAAAAGGGCTAGGCATGAGCATAAAGAATTGGCTAGGGAGACAAACGTAAGATATAATTCAGCTATCAGTTTATACCGACAAGCCTCTGTCTTGAATTGACCTTTGGAATAAAATTGGTCGGGTTTAGTTTTGAACTTCATCTTAGAATAGCAAAAAGGAATGCAACATACAGTCACTACAATTTACAGTAATGTATATCCTGTGAAACACTTGAAGACGTCCTCCCAACATGAAAGGTGCATTTTGCTCATTTTGCAAATGCAATATTTTATATTATGAATTTCGGGCTAAATGCAGACCTCTTGATGCAGTAAGCAAGGGAATGTCATCCATTTAAGTTCCCAGCTGTTGCTTTGGCTGAGATTACTTAACCTGCTACAGTCTAGAAATCAAATTCACAACATTCTGGTCTGTACAATCTACTGCTAAACTGGACTGTCCTTTTGCACTCTGCCACCTCTTTCTTTATCCCCTCAACACCGAGTGAGGGATTTTGTCAAAGCAATACATTTGTTAGGTTTTTACTTTTTCTACAAAAAATTTTTTCATCTAGATGTATGTTGATAATACATGATTTGTTACTCATAATGGTGAGTTATATTACTGTCATTGTAGGAACTCCAATTCAACGTTTAGATTAAAGATATGGGTAAAATGATATCCACAACATAAAGTTAAATATCCTAAAGCACAAGATGCAACAGCCTTGATTCTAATGGAAGACATCTTTAGCTGCTGTAGTGCAAGGGAGGCAGGTATTGGACATTGCAAAACCAGTATTTACCACTTGGGTAGGTTTGCAATGCCTCACACGAAGGCCCATTAAAGTAACTTGAATTATTCCAGCTCTCAATTGTGCATTTTGAATGAACATTGGTTTTGTTTGATTTGTATGTACAGCCAAAATAGTAATTTTTTTTATAGTAGGGTAATTTAATTTCATGACTGCTTCAGGAATAGAGCACTCTTTTTACTACAGTACGCATTCTGAATTTTAGTCAGGAAAACCTGTGCAATAAAAAGCCAGAGGTTTGAAAGTTTATGATGTGCACAATATTGGAACAGTATGTTAACTATGGTACTTTTGGTCTACCTGCAGAACCTTTACCTCTTGTTCGCTGTTCTTGTGTATATAGGTCACACTGGTTGTACTGAATCTTCAAAACCACATCTATTGTTTTCTGAAATACACAAGGTAGTGTTGTTGATTTTGTGTGTTTTTTTTGCTCTTTCAGGAAATATTGATGAGGATGTTGTGGTGATTGAGACCACCTCAGCTCCCCAGGTTACTGCCAATGAAGAAATCAATGTTACCTCAACAGACAGTGAAGTGGAGATTGTCACTGTTGGGGACAATTGCAGGTAAGAATCTAATTTTATATCTATAGCGTGTCAGGCTTCATAGCTATCAGTGGTGATGCACCACTATTTTAAAAGTCACGTGCCCTCACAAGAGAGGCTTGTTCTTCTTTGTATCACGACAGTTGACGCTGGTAATTCTGTTGTCGTTCCTAAGCATCAGGACTGCTGCGTCCGAGCAGATGGAGTTGTTGATTAGAATATGAATCAAAGCCTCAGCAATGAGTCCAGCAAACTTTTAAATGCAATGTTAGTTTGATTTTTATTTAATTATTTAATTCTCAAAGTTGTTTGGTTTATTTTTTGGGTGGGGAGAGGGGAACTGGCTTCTCTTCTAACAGTGAGGTAGCTATAGGAATCCATTGGGAGCTCAGCAGATCTGCTCTGTGTATTTCTGGGCTTCCTGCCGAGCCAGATTTGGGATTCAATGTTGTTCCTCTTCTCTGCTGCCCAGTAAGAAAAAAAAGGAAATGCTGATTGCAACGCAGGCTTATCCCTGCATCCATAAAACAAGCAGACATGTTCTACTGAAGCTCATCGACCTAATGCCTTAATGGAACTGATAATCCAGCAGGATCTTGCCAGAGACCACTGTTATGGTAAACAATCCATTGATTGGCATTCAACATACAACTTGGTTATAATGGCCACCGTTCCTCAGCTTTTCTGTTCTGTTTATGCAACAAGTCTGAGTTCTAGAAAAAATAATGTTAACACGACATTTTACATGTCTTACTTTGCTGACTTTAGAACTGCTTATTGGTGTGGTTTTAGCAAGTCTACAGAGTATTGTATATGATATCAGGTGAAGCTGCCTGGAATTGGTGGAAATACAATGATAAGCATAAATGGGGCTAAATTTGATTCACTTTTTGAAATGTTGAGTGAAAGATTATGTTTAAAATGGATCCTTTTAGGAGCTGGTAGTTACAATCATTGTAAAACCAGTTCTCTCATCTGGTGAAGACATGAACCTCAGGTCTGCACTCCTCACATGTGGTATGAAGTCGTGTTTGCCATCTTGTAGTTGAGTGTAAATGTAGAGGCAAACTATTTTTGGCCAAAATTCAGGAGAAGCAAAGCTAAGGCCACAAAAAGAGCACAGAGGCCTCATTGAAGACCATCAGTAGCCCGACTTGTTTCAGATCTGGGATCAGAAAGTGCAATCAGCTTGTACCAAGATCAGATTTTCCCATGGGGGAGAAAACATTGGCCCATTCCGATCCCTAATTCGCTTGTTGGTTTTCACATTGCTGGGTTATTACTAATAAACCATTGCAAAAAGGCCTTCAGCAATTTCTTGTCGTCAGAGACACAATTTGTCAGCAAGCCATAAAGTTTTTTTTTCTCAAAGCGATTTTATTTTAATTATAGTCTTTCCACACTTAAAATGGTTTGTAAGAAGAAGGGAACAGTTTAGAGTGAACAGCAAAGTTATTTTAAGGCAGATTGACAGGGCGATGCTGATTAGACTATTCACTACCTCTGAGTGAAGAAATGTTTCCTCAACTCAATATGAAAAGGCTGACCCTTAATCTTGAGACTATGACCCCCAGTTTTAGATTCTCCAACCAGGGGAAACAATCTCAGAGCATCTACCCTGTCAAGATCCTTAAGAATCTTATAGGTTTCTATAAGATCACCTCTAATTCTTCTGCATTCTAGAGAATATAGGCCTAGTTTACTCAACCTATCCTCATAGGTTGAGTAAACCCCATAGGTATCCCCTCATCCCAGGAACCAACCTAGTGAATCTACGCTGCACCCCCCCTAAGGCGAGTATGTCCTTTCTTAAATAAGGAGACCAAAACTGCACACAATATTCCAGGTGCGGCCTCACCAAAGCCTTATACAACTGCAGCAAGACTTCCCTATTCTTGTACTCTAACCCTTTTGCAAAGAACGCCAACATGGCATTAGCCTTCCTAGTTGCTTGGTGTACCTGCATACTAACTTTTTGTGACTGGTGTACAAGGACACCCAAATCCCTCTGAATACTTAACACTACCTAGTCTTCCCATCTAGAAAATAATCCGCTTTTCTATTTTTACTACCTAGGTGAATAACTTAATGCATCCCCACGTTATACTCCATCTGCTATCTTCTTGCCCACTCACCTGGCCTGTCTATTTCCCTTTGCTTTCTTTGTGCGTCATCCTCACAGCTTACTCTCCCACCTATCTTCATATCGTCCGCAAATTTAGATATGTTAAGTTCTATTTCCTCATCGGATTCTGCGTTTTAAGCACCCATGTGTAAACTAAAATTAATAGAACTTCTATCAGATGAGATTGTGGTATCCTGCTGTGAGCCTGGGTCCTATCACATCTGCTGTTACAACTACTGTTTCATTTTTGACATTTGAAGGAGAATTGCAGTCAAATGGCATCTGTTCCTTTCAGGTTACTGTCTTGAATTAATTAGTCACTTGAGTCATGTTTATCGTGTCTATTTTAAAAAAAAATGCTCTCTTGTATGGATTGTTTTGCAGTTATTCTTCCCTTACCCATTATTTCAGGCTCCTAGAAATTGTTCTGTACCCAATAATCAGTAATTAAATTTTGACTTGTATTAGCCAGGATGTGCTTTCTTTCAAATGTCCCAAGTGAACCAGTGAATTCTGATTGTATAAATAGACATATAAATCAAAAATGTAAGATTTAGACGATTAGCTCGTACCAAATAAATAAATGTTTGAGAGGCGCAAGTTAATAGTAACATGTTTAAGGTTTAAATTGTTCTTAAAATAGCATAGTATACAAATATAATTGATGAACTTCATCTGAAAATTGTATTAACATAATCCAAGTTATTGTTTTCTTTTAAAAACAGAGAACGCAGCAGGAGTTTTTGTTTTTACAATTTTGATTCTTAGAATTAGGGCAGTGATATAAGAATGAGACTGGTGTTTAGAATGGCCAATAAACTCTGTGTGTCATGGAGCAATTCGTTGTGAACCTGACTGGTAAAGTGTGCTGATGAGAGAATGTAGATTTACAAAAATAACGCAAGAGTTGTATTTTTACTAGGCAGCTTGTGTTGTTCGACAATAGTGGAAATGAGCCATTGTCACCCATTTGTTTGTAAACGGAAACAAATATTTTTCTGGATGTGAAGGATATTCGTGGTTGGGAATGGAACCGTTTTACCAGTATCTGTACTGAGCTCTTAGATAAGATTCCAACGTAGGTTTGATACATGGCTAAAGCCTCTTGTCTATTTTTGCATTGTGCAACAATATCCTTGTGGTATAAGTGAGGTTATCGTTGTGGGCTGGATTATGGGCAACCTCACGGTCAAGGTAGACCTTTCATTCAGTTATTATTAAGATTGATAAAGAAAAGAAGCTAATGCACTTGGTTTGTATAAATACTTTGACAGACTTTGTGGTCATCACATGCTTCTCACCAGAATGGCATGTGGCACATTTGCTGTGGTTGTATTGACGGCATTTTGTGGTCTGCAAGTTTTGTTAGGAAAATTTGTAATCAAAGTCTGAGCACAAGTGTAATTTATTTTAATCTCCCACTGTTTGTGTGACCCTGAGGATCTGAGCAGCACAAACCATTCCTTGGTAGACAGAGAGGAAAACCGTATGCTTCCACATACCCATGTTCCTGATCCAATCTTTATAGAACAAGCTAGGAGTCCCCATTTTCCTGAACTTTACAAAAAAGGGAAGCGCTAGTTACTTTCAGCCTGATAGTTCAGCTAAGATTATGAATTCACCACGTCTTAAACTGTAAGAATGAATTGTGTAGTTGTACACCTTTGTAACTAGCTTATTTGTTTACCACTATGTGCTGTATCTTTGCCATGAAAATATTTTATAATGGCCTGCCATTATAATTGTCTGAAATGTTTCTCTCAAAATGCTCTATTAGAAACTGTTTCAGGACTTAGTAAATGTTTATTCCTGAAGGCTTTTATATTTCTGTAACCAGGGTTGGAGGGGAGCTCTTCAAAACGTTTACAGTAACAGAATGATCTGTTACTGCTTATCTTTACCTCTTAATCCAAATAGACCTGACAAATTTGAGCCATCACAGAGCTCGAATTAAGCTCATCAGGACACCAACGTATTTATGATGCGGGTCATCTGAGCTCAAGCTCATTTTTGAAACCTACTCTGAATCCAGGAAACGCCTACAAATGTTGTAAATACCAACCCTATGACATACTGTACAGACCTAAATAACCTCAAGTTAAGGTCAGAATGCTGCAAAAGCACAACTTGATCTAAACACCCAGCATTAAACAAATGTGCCGATCCCTGCTATCCTGCTGGATGCCAAGTTTTTTTTCTATATTGACCAATTTAGAAAATGTACTTGTAACTGACAACGCACAAGCTGAAAGTGGTGCTTATGTCATATTCTGTTTAAATTGCACTCTGCTTCGTTCCTCCCTCCTGCCCCCCCCATTCCAGTAATTTTTCTTAATGTGTAAGCTTCAGGTCAAACCAGCATAGAATTCTTCCTATAATGGCACATTTGCGGTTGATCATTATGTTCTGATGCCATGCATCTGCAATCCAGTTCACTCCACTAATGTCAGAACATTGTGAGGTTCACATTATTGTATTGCAAGTGTGATGTGGTTAGGACTTGGAAACTTCATCCTGCTCAAATCAACGTGCTAATTGTGCGATTTGCAGAGTGCCACTGCTAGTGGCTGTGGAAATATTAGCAGCTGAAACCTGCCAGCTGCAATGGTGAGCAGGCCACGATCAGCCAGCAGGATTCTTGGGTATTCTGTTCCCCCACCACACCCATATTGACATTGGTGTGTGTAGTTCATTTTCGGTCCTGTGAATTTTTCTTTAATGGCTTTGATAGGCAAGATCCACATACTTAAAAATAATGTGACCTCCTATATTCCATTACTCAACAGGAAAATTAAATTCTCATTCTTGGCTTCCCAGAGATTAACTCCATTATTGTCAAAGTTCACTGCCTTTGAGATGTACAATAGTTAAGCAGTGGAAACTTTGAGACTTTATAGATGGACATCTATGGGAGAATTAAGCTTTAAGAAATGTAAATATCAATAAGAACTCAGTTAGAAGGAAATGGCTTTAATCTTGATGATAATAGAAATCTGATAGCATTCACTCTCGATCATTTCTTTTTTAAATTGCAATAACAATAGAATCCAGATAACATTAAATTGTATTTCTTCGTTGAGTGTGGTGCAAGTCTGTTAGATTCAAGAAGCTTCTGTTTTAGCTCCTTCAGAAAAATCCATAACATAAATTGTGTTTGTTCTGTCAGTAAGGTGGGATTCACTGGCCTAGCAGCAAAGTCTGAGTTTTTCTAATATTGGATCAGGCTCACTGTCATTTTCAATTACTGTGGTTTTCCAGGTCTTACACCACGCTAGTTGGCCACTCAAGGGTACACTGGGGCCAAAGCTCCAGTTCACAGAACAGACCTCAGGAACAACGGAACCGGAACCGAATATCAACAGTTATCCAGCCATTACGACAAACCACAGCAGAGGTGGTGGACCTTACTGTGGATGAGGATGGTAAAATATTTTGTTTCTAAAGCTTATTGGAAACTACTTTTCGGGCCAGTTGGAAGGCCATGGGGAAGTTCTTCAGAGGATGATTAAGCAACAGATAGCATAGCGCGTGTTTATGTGATACAGGCTCAATTGTGACATCGAGATATTAAATTGAGAACAGATGAAGCTTAACTCTTAACATTACTATAATTCCAATTTGGCCATAAAATATAGGGTCAGCTCACTTTACAGTATATTCTGTGAAGAACTTTGAGACGTCTCGAAGACGTGATAAGGGGCTATATCAAATGCAAGGATTAGGATGATTATTATTCCATTTGTTGCACTGTGCCTTTGTCTTAACAGTTTATTTGATGATAATAATGATTGATTGGTTAACTGTAACAAAACTCAACCCATTTTGGAGTAAACTAGTCTGTGCATATTTAAAATTGAAAATGGTTTGGGAGGCACAATGATTTTCATTTTCAATATTGACCTTCGACTTGCAAGAGTTCTACTTTCTGTCACAAAGTGCACAGTTTTGTACTTGCAGAGCACTCAGAACCTTGCCATAAAAGCACTGAGCTACCTTCACTTTTTTTTTGTTTTGATCACAGAACCCACAGTGGTGCCAACTACCTCTGCTGCTAGATCACAACCAGTCAGTAATGTACCTACCTCAGGACAGATCCTTAGTAGTACTCCCGGCCCTTCTACTACCCAGTCTGCCTCTGTGCCAGAGTTTTCAGGAGTTCCTACCACCACTAGTACACCAGGTCCTCTGCCAGTGGGTATGTATACAATTGTATTTATTACCACAGAACTTGTACGGTCACATTAGATAATGGATATCTGAATTGTCCTATATAAGATCCCTTCCCTGCTCCACACCTTCAATGCAAAATTCCCTTCTGGCCTTAACTGCACACTGTGTCAGTTGGCTGGGATTTTATGGATCCCAAACATGGTGTTCTAGCGATACTCCACAGTAGTACCCCTCGTTAAAGTCTTCAAATCAAAAATCACTGCTTTGTAAAAGTAGCTAACTCTTAAAAAGATCTTGATTTTCTTTTTTGTTCTTTTCCACACAGATGATGGCAGGAGAACTGGATCAAATACAGTGCCAGAAGCTGGACCTGGGGCAATGCCGAGGCTCCCGTCCTGCTGCCCTCAGCATTCACCGTGTAGTGGGGCTTTGCAAGGTCACCACACATTAGGACACCCTCATTCAAGCTGTCTCCACCAAAATAACCACCAGTTTCAGCACCATCCTGGTGCCCACCCTGCAGTGCCACCATCAATGCCTTCATTTCCAGAGTCAAACTGTCCCTTGGAGAGACCTGCTGCAGTGCCACCACCTTGTGGAGCAAATGGAAATACAGGTGGACAGTATCATGATCAGGTTTGTAACATTGTTAGTCACTTTGAACAATGGAGCAAGAACAGTGTAGAAAACTTCTGAACTGCAGAATACCTTACTAATACTGTATTATGCTGATGCCACATGCAACTCTTCTGAAATAAATGTGAAACCTATAAAATTATTTTCCGGTATGCATCCATTTCCTGAAGGAGAATTCTAAAAATGTTCAAGGTGAACGAGTGTTAATGTGGCTGTTTCTACTTGTTTTGATTTTTTTTTTACAATTTCACTTTTTTAATAAAACAAAATGTTAATTTGTTAAAGAGCAGACTTTAAAAATTAGCCTGAACTGAATCAGTTTTCATGCTAGTTATTGCATCGCCAGTGGAGTCAATCACTCAAATGTGCTACATTAATCTGGTGCCATAATAATTTTTGAGCATCAAGGACTTCATGACCGCATTTTCCAATTGCAATTTTAATAGACATGGAAGCCTGGATTTACAGATACTTTAGAGGGGTTGGTCAAGTGTTTACGCAACAAATTTGAGATTACAACAATGAAATAATGTTCCAAAAAGAAGTAAAGCACAGGAAGTATTTCAATCGAAGTATCCTCACCTATGCAGTAGGTGAAGAAAAAAGCTGGTTTAAAAATACTGAGCAGAATGTTGATGGCTGATATCAATAATGTAGTGAACGTGATCAACTGTTGCAATGTTTTAATTTTAATCTCTGTATTACTTTCATTTCACTCTACCTTCATTGCATTCCAATTGTATTTTGTTTTGAACAGACACTACCTGTCGACTTAAGTAGTGGTGCTGTTAGGGGCCATGGAAGTGGCAGTTTCCAGGGAACTTCTGCATTTGATCCCTGCTGTCCCGGGGCTTCCTCACGTACTGCAGTTTACGGAGCACAAGCGACTGCTGGAACAAGCCAGCCCGTGGCTGTCGAGGGATATGGACCTGGGATGGTAGGGCAAGCTCAACGTCAACCACAGCCCCAGCTCACATCCTGCCGGCATTTTATGCATCCTACCTGTAAGTCTTTTCACTTCCTGAAGTTGCCGTTTGCTGCTTGTGGTGATTGGTGTCTGATATAACCATCTAATGTTCTCTCACAAAAGGATTTTAGTTTCCTGTAACTTTTAGCAATGATGCTATTTGGTTGTACATTAATAGTGAAATGATTCAATTACTTCTCCTAGAACTATGCTTTAATACATGAAAATGCTTGTGTGTCTCAGTTATTGATTTCACAATGCTGTTCTATACTATGTTAATAGGGCAGTCACTTCCTTTCTCTTCCCCCGCCCCACCCAAATTAACCACTTGCAGAAAGGTTGGTGAGACAAATCTGCGTGGGAAGGTCATACATACTTCTGAGCAGCTCGGGAGCAAATCTCTTAACAGGATCCCAGCCTGCCCTGTTACTAGGAAAGGTGGATTCTGGAAATGCCGCTGTTTAGAAATCAATTCCTGAGTATGATCCAGCTATTGTAAATACCAGCATTGATTTCATTGGCAACATTCATGATGTCCACATTTAAAATGAAGCAAACTTGCTCTTTAAATGTAAAGGTTCAAAATGGTGTACAGCAACCCCAATGTAGTTGAATTTAAATCCTTTCTTCGCCAAAGGGTTATTGAAAGGTTTCTTCAAAAAATTTTAATGTGTGGTTAGTATGTATATTTATTTTCTACTCTTCTCTCCAGATGCCCCAATACCAAGACCACTTCACCACCAATCTACGACGTGCCCACACGCCCACGGAAACCCTCCCTCTGTGCCGCAACCTCCTCCTCAACCAGAATACGCTATTCCCCACCCAGTGCACCCTTTCCACCCACAGATTCCCTCACATCCGTCAAGCCACAATGTACAGCCTGCTCCACCCCCTCCACCACCTCCACACCACCTTCCTGCAACAGCAGCAGCACTGCAGCACCACATCCCTCCTCCGGCACCTTCCTCTCAGAGACTGCATCATCACGACGTGCTTCAGAGATTGGAAGCACAACGAAGAAGAATGATGCAACACCCAACGTAAGTCATGAGTACTGAATATCAATTGAATATGAATTGGTAACGTGGATACACTTCAAGCTACAAATTAAAAGAAAAAAGTTAATGTTTTGACTAAGACCCTTCACCAGATCTCTTGACAAAGTGCTTATTGACAAATAAAATTGCAGATTTTTGATCATTATATTTTAACTTCACAGTCCCAGTTTAATATTACTTTTTGTAAAATATGCAGTTTAAATTCTAGAGCTTGCCAGCACTGTGTGTGATTTTTCTTTTTTTCAATGTAACCTGTAATGGCTGGCCTTTTTCCTTTGACCGATTGCGTTTTGTGAGACTCCGCTGCTCATTTCCGATGTAATATGCTATGTCTCATTTCTTTTTCAGTCGAGCACATGAGCGCCCCCCACCTCATCCGCATCGTATGCACCCCAATTATGGTCACGGACATCATATTCACGTTCCTCAGACTATGTCTTCACATCCTCGACAGCCGCCAGAGAGGACTGCCTGGTCAGTATTGACTCTGAGCAACTTTTAGTGCCATATAAGTAGGAATTCTCATATCTTTGCTGTTAAGTGCCCTGAGGCGTTGTGCTCCATGAAGCGTGCAATATAACTGCACGTTGTTGTTTTGCGATTTCTTAAAATATTCAAGTAGACTTGTAATACTCGGAAATGTCTAGACAGAGACGATGGAAAGTAATAGCAATATTATTAATTGGGAAAATAATATTGAATTCAATAACATGATGCTATGTAGGCTCATAGTAAGCTAAACCATAGTTATCCTACTAAAATACCTTGCAATTTAAAATGTAGAATAAATGGCAGTTTTTAAACATTATTTTAAATGATTTAGTGGTGATTTATTTCTGATGTGGTGTTGGTCTGCCATATTTTCCTTGAGTTAGTAACTCCTTTTGTTAAATATTGTGTTGCTCTTTAAGTTGTTATCCGAACACTGGACAGCTATGTGGAGAAGAATAGCGATTTTATATTTTAATATAGTAAAAATAATAGACCTGATTATTTACCATTGCAGGGATCTGGGCATTGAGCCAGGAGTGACTGCAGCACCATATCCACCAGGTCACCTTCACCCTCACATGGCTCATTACCATCCATCTCAACCTCCTCGACTGCACCATTTCCCAATTGGAGCCCTCCCTTTTATGGTAAGTAGGTATTAAAAAAAATGTTGGCATTTGTTAATGGTGCAGGAACATCAAAGTGTCTCCAAGCACTGCAGAGGTAATTGGTGTCCAATGCTGACAGTGTTTGTAAGCAAACATGTGGCACCCAATTTGTGCACAGCATGTCTCTTAAACAGCCAAGAAGTGAATGACCAATTTACCTGGAGGATTGTTGGCCAGGATTTCCGTCCTTTGTTGCTGAAATAGTTCTAATTGATGGTCATCTCTTGCAACTGTGGATTAAGCGCAAATTCCACATGTGAACCGCAAGGTGACAATAATCCAGCAAGTCTCCATTTAGTTTTTGAATAATTTTAAGGGCACTGTACATTCCTTACAAATAGCTTTATTAGATGTGTGTCAACTTGGCAGGGAGATGTGCAGGGAACATAGCAAAAACATTAAGCCCAGTAAGCCATTCCTTTGATATTTTCCACCTTCTTGCCATAACACTTTCACTCAATCATTTCTCCTTCAAAAAACTGACTGAGTTGCCTTTTGGCATCCTTTATATTGTCTGCTTCAGTGTCCTCCTTTGATTACTTATTCCACAAGTATACAGTATGATCTTCGTGAGGGGAGATGTTCTATCTGACTTGATCCTAAATTTGTATATTTTTCAGTTATGCTCCTGGTGTGTCTAATACAAGGATTATTTGAAGTTTTCACAAAATGGGAGAATTTGCCTGGAATAACCTTCTTTCAATGTGAAAAATGGTCTCCTCCAATGAGAATAAAAGAACAAGCTAGACTTTTTATTAAACCCACTCAAACTTCCGATTAGTTGCTCACCTTGGTACTCTCTCAAGGGCAATAACATCCTTGTTAATATTAGATAAGCAAAAGAAATTGCTTGCAGTACTTTAAGTGGACTCTGACAAATCCCTTACTCAGCAACAATATAACCTATTTTAATTGGTACTCTTTATCCCTCTGCTCCAACCTTATTTGCTGATCTGACTTATCAGTTGATCTGCAATAACTCTATCCTGTTCCATTTAACATGCACACAAACCTTCTTCGGCTCCTTATTCCCACACTAATTTTACACTTAAGCACATTAAACCGTTCCTACCATCCACCGGGCCAGCTTCAGATTAAAATAGAATGGATAAACAGCCAAATTTGTAAATTTACGTAGACAAGTGTTTCCAGAATTTTAAAAATGGAACTTACATGCATTATCTCAATTCAAAATGTATTTCTGCACAGCATTTATTTCTGTTTGTGAAAAATAGCTAAAGATATTTTATCTGGGCAAGTGAGGAAGCAGTTGGTGATTAAAGGGGGTTTGGTCAGAGTGCAATTCTACACTAGTATTTTGGAAGTGTACTTGCAGTGAGATCAGGAGCAACTGCAATTTTTCTTGCAGTAACTTAAATGTAATTGAGTTGTATTCAAATTCAATCTCCATACTTGTACATGAATGATGCCCAGTTGGGTGAGGTGCAATGAAGTGACCAATGTCTGTGGAATTGTTCCCCTGTGGGAGGTGTAAGAAGACATCCAATGTATTGGGGAAAGCCACAGATCTGATCCCTGATCTATGCTGAGCTACTGAGATGCTGTTGGGAAGTACACTCTTGTCCTGAGTTAGGGAAGGAAAGTGTGACCAGAGTCACAGCTCATCATGGTATATGTGCGACTTGATAAACCAGTTCAAACAGCTTAAGTGGGTCTCCTATGTTCAGGTAGCCTCAGAAGATTTCTGTCCAGCTCACGCATTAATATGTACAATGATTATCATGGTTAGGAAGTTTCAAAGATTTATAATCTATTTTAGCTCCATCACATTCCATTTGTTTTCTTGTTTAGGCTATGCCTCCAGACATGGCAGGCTACCCTCACATCCGTTATATTTCCTCAAGGCTGGAGGGAAGGTTTCCAGGCCTCAGGGCCACTTACGAGGTTGGTCCTAATACTAAGTATAACTGCTTGGAATTTGAAGTGATAAAACTATCACTGCTCATGTGTGTTTCTGTACCCTCGCTCTGAGCAAATACACTTTCTTTCACTCGTCAGGATTTGCTGCATTTAGAAGAACGACTGGGTAATGTTAATCGCGGTGCCTCACAGGGTACTATTGAGAGATGCACGTACCCACACAAATATAAAAAGGTGAGATCTCTCACTTCCTGTTATTTCAGTATTAAACCATGTATAATACAAGTGATTTATTCAAAATTATGTTATTATTATGTGACTAGTTATAAACATTTCTTCATGTTCACCAAGTCAACCCTGCAAATGCTTTGTGTATTCTCTGCAGTTAAACCTCCTTACAAAAGCATGCCTTTATGGTAATAAGGTGATAACTAATTTACAGAGGAAACTTCTGCAGTATAAACAGGAAGGAAAAGATGGGGCAGAGGATGACACTGAGGAGAAATGTACTATCTGTCTGTCTATTCTAGAAGAAGGAGAAGATGTTCGGTAAGTTGAGCTTGTGTGTGGTTTGATAAATGCAGTGAAAAGAATGAATAAAGCAAATCGCTTCCTTTACTCTTTACAGAACAATGTAATATTGGTGATCCAAAAGGAACATTTCAACTAAGTCTCCCTTTAACTGGAAGAGCATTTTATTTTGTGAATCAGTATTTGTGTAAATAGGACTTTGGATAGAGCTCTCCTTGTAGATGTCTGTATTCACCTGTTTCAGTTCACAACTGTCTGTGTCTCTTACATTGACTGATCACAAAGATCAGAGCAGAATGTATTTGAATTATTAAGAACCTGCTGCACTGGATTTTCGGTATTTGGCAACCAACAGCCAAAATGTAAGGACAGTTTGTCTGTTGTAGCTGCTGATGCAGATCGTAAAATTGTGAAATAAATGATTATGTTAAAAAAAATCAAAGAATAGGTTTAATTTTTTAAGAGATGATAAATGCTTTTTTTAATTTGTAACCATGCTTTTTAAAACCAGATTTCGTAATGTTAACGCTTGCCTCTGTTCCTTCACAGGCGCCTTCCTTGCATGCACCTCTTTCATCAAGTGTGTGTGGATCAATGGCTGACTACCAACAAGAAATGCCCCATCTGCAGGGTAGACATTGAGGCTCAGCTGTCTGCAGATAGTTGACATCTTATTCTCTAACTCTCAGTACTGCAGTCAACCAAAGATGGCACGAATAACCTGCGCAGATTCAAAAGCATTGAACCTAGAGTGCGGCTACGCCACATAGTACAATTTATGCTAGGCCTACAGTGATATTTCAGTATAGAGTTTAAAATTTAATGTATTTATGAAGCTTTCTTTTTTATGTGGCTTTTTATGTTTTTTTCCAAGTCATTTTATTTTGCATGGTTCCTTGGATTGCATTTCTTTGCACATAACGGGCTTTATGTCCTCAGACTTGCAGGCAAGATTAGCTGCTCTAGTAAGATAGAATCAATGTCATTTTCATGATGCCTTGCTTTACTGGAATAGAATATGTCATCAGTCACTAACCCTGGACTTTAATTTAAACATTTATATTAGGTTGTGTATATAGATTGTGATCTATTCATTAAGGAAGGAATATCGAGACATTCCGTGATTAAGAAAACGGCTGCTGTATTGTAGAAACTCATCATCAGACAGCAAACAATCAATGGGATCTGATCCCAGCCAATTGCCATTGCAAGAAATATATATCCGAACAATATTAACTGCTGTTCTATGTTTAGGTTTTTTAAAAAATCCATCCTTCTTTGGCACAATGGTAGGTGTAATTTTTAAAGAATGTCAATATTCAAAACTAATGGGTTCACAGATTTTTATTTCATCACTTTCTGTCACTGGTTATAAATTTTGTTTTCCCTTTTATTTACAATTTTTAGCTGTTTGACTGCCATTAAACAGCTCTAACAAACACTAATGTTATCTAAATTAGCTGTATTGCGTATACTTGCACATCTGATGATTTGTAATGGTGAGCTAGTCAGATTGTAGAACAAGGTTCTGTATGAAGTCACCAATAAGCACGTCTAGGTAATGTATTTGAAGGCAGATTGCAGATTTATGGCTGTTAAAGAATCAGGTGAAGTGTTGGAATGCAGTACTAATGGCAGGTATCCATGCATTCACAGATTTGTAAAGATCCCTGGATGCGTTTTCCAGGGGGAACTTAGTTTTCAAGTTAATAAAGATTAGTTAACTCCAATGTGGCTCTTTGTCTTGAAAATGTTGCTTTTTTTTTGAAATTCCACGTTTTTTTTCCAATGTATCAAATATAAAGACACATGTATTTTTTGCAATTTTATTTTGTTGGTAATTTTTGTAATCGGGTTTGATTTTGTGTTGATGTATATTAACTGCCGAGTAAGAAAGGGGATGTTGGGTAAAAATAATATTTATAACATATGTGATGTACTGTTATGCAGGAAATGTAATGTTGGTTTATGAGCAGAGACCCACTGAAAGCCTCAGTAGACTTTGCGGTTCATTATTACTAAATTACTGATGTTTTAATGTAGGTCAGGAGGGATTGGGTTAGGGAAAAGTATTACCACCAACACAATGCAATTGAGTTTCAAGCACAGCGAAGATCAAATAATTAATGCCCAAAAGTCAGTGATAATTGGCCTTTGCCCTGTGCTTTTGGAAGCAAAATATCTGTCAGAAAGTGCATGTGTATGGTCTTTTGGGTTTAGAATGAATTGGGATTGGCCTCAACAGTTTAATAACCTCTCTTAAGTTTCACTGTCTAACCTTACACATTAAGAAGGTCACTGGGCAAAGCACTTCCAACACCTGCAGTATTTCACTCGGGGAGAGAGCCAAGGGAGGAGATTCGCAAAGGAAACCGCAGCACATTTTGCAGCGAGCACAGGCAGGCTTCTTTATAAAAATTATATTGTAATTACATCACGGAGATTGGAGCTGCCTAACAAGTCGGAAAAGGCAATGATTGGAGATGCCAGAGCAGGCCCTGAACAATGGAATTGATAATTCAGCTCAAGGTAATTGTGCACTCAGCCTGTTTCGATGAAATATCGCAGCCTTGAACATCATCTTGCTTTGACAGCGGAACACTTTACCTTTTTGAAACTTCCCCAAGGGAATTGTTCTAACCATGTTCACTATACTCATATTTTTCTGAATAATGTGATGGGAAGCAATGGGAGTTTGAAACCTAATGTTTCAGGAATATTTAAAGGAACCATTCCATTGAAGAATCCTCTTATATACAGGTACATTTCTATTTCTATTCAGCAGTAATCTTGTCTGATAATTATCCACAAGAGCCAATTCTTGATCTAATGCCTGGTTCTCCACTATCTACTGAAGAGGAAATCAGCAATGGATTGATGGCAGAAAAGAAATGAACACAAGGAAATGTTTCTGGGAAAGTAGGTATTCAAGAATGAACCATGTAAAATTTTATGATGTCATGTGCAAAAAAAACAAATACACAAAAGCATTCAAACAGCAAATTAAGAGAACTGACCCATATCTTTATTTTATGTGCGGTTATAGTTGTGTACAAATGGATTAACTTTGATTAGATGTGTTTATCAGCTGATTATACTGATAAAATCAAATGGGTCAGAAACACCAGATTGATGGCTGAATGTTGCAGCTCTGAGATATAAAGATTAGCAAGCTTAATATTAATTATTGTACAATTAGCTGATTAAACTAGAACCCACAGAAACTGAGGTGAGATCTGCAAAAAAAAAAACTTTCTCTCCAAATGGCTCATGCCAAATGGAGATTAACCTCCATGTATAATAATCTCTTAAAGTAATGGTTTAATTTCACCATCTTTCACCTGTGGGGGATATAGTTTTGAAACCAGCCCAGACCGATTGGACAGAATCACTTTGGTGGAGTGGCTAAATTGGGAATCTCACTTAATGCAACCATATCACAGGCTTTTTTTCAAACCAGAATTCTCAGTGAAGGTCCACAGTGCAAAGCACCACCATATCAGAAAACACTGACTGATTTTCTCTAAGTAGTGCCCCCAAAGTGTTACACAGTCCGAGCAAGTGCGCAAGTTTAACAAAATTCAGCATCTGATACGTCTCGTTGAAAAGTGAGTAAATTCTTTAGGTTTTGATGAACAACATCTTTTGACTGTTATACCTTCAGTTAGGATAACAATACAACCCAAAGTGGCCTTTTTTAGCTCATTCAGATGGTTCCAGTCCTGTTATGCCGTAAGCTATATTTTTCAGTCTCTTGGACAACAGCAGAGGGAGATGATATTTATTTTCCATGGATAGAAGATGGACATGCTGCAAATTCAGAGTTCCGAAGCTGTAAATATTCCGCCTACCGCAAAAAAATCTCACTGAAGAACAAAGGTTGACTTCATACCCGTGCCAGCTCCAATTAACACACTGAAATATAAGATAAAAACCTTCAATAAACGCGGTCACTCTTAAGTGCCATTATGACAATTCATAATCCAATTTTTTAAAGAAATTAAAAGGGTTTCCCGGCAATTCTTTGAAACCAAATCGGAGTTTGCAAATTATTTCCTTTTTGGTGTTACTGTACTTTAAAAAGTTACATTGTCTAAGCGCCATGTGTGGTACTGTTCTCAGCCAGACAGCTGTGGGGACACTAATGTTTATCTTGGTTTCCCTGAGATCAGGAAAGGGGGAAATAAACCAAAGTTTCCACTCCCAATCATTGCTATCCAGTGACCGCTGCTTTACAGTGTGTTCTGTGAAGCGCTTTGGGACGTCCTCCCGACATGAAAAGCGCTATATCAAATGCAAGGATTATTATTATTATATGTACATGGGGGATATTAGCTGAGGATAGAATTGAGTTGGATTGTGATACTCTTCATTGCTAACACAGCAATGTCCCACAAACAGTCGTAGATTGAAAATGACCAATTTATTATTGTTTTTGGTTTTGGATTGTTCAGAGACTGGGAAAGACTGGACATCTGGCTGACCCTATTTTCAAATACTATCCTTGCCTCACATACTCTCTATTCCCCCCCAGTATGCCTCTCCCAATCTCACGTGTGGTCAAAAATAATTGATTTCCCTCTTGAAGACACCCACCCTACCTGCCTCCACCACCACCACCACCCTGGGCAAATAGAACCATATGTTAGCAGCCCCCTCTATAAAGAATAAATCATTGCAGAGATCAGATGAAGTTAGACAGCCCGGGATGCAGAGCTGATTAACATCTGAACACAAGAGTTTATGAAACATTACAATGTGGTCTCAGGGTGGGGGAGCTTTCAGATTTTGACCATTTGGTTTTGCACCTTGTGAATATCAGGGAAAGCAATAATAAGCAAAGCATTCCATGGGGTCCTTTGACAGACTCGGTGAGTCACGTCTGGCAGTGAAGACCCTGGTCTCTAGGAAGGGACTGCAATACAGCTGGTTTCCAAACACAATACTCTGCTCTGAGACTCAATGGGCTGAATGGCCTCCCTCCTTGTACACTGTAAATTTCTGCTTCTAGTTTGAAAGTGTTTGGAATCGTCCACTGTTATTTTCCGAACGTGGACCTAACGACAGTTACACTACATTCGAGTTTTCAAATACGCTTCGTTTAATCAAAAAGAATTTTAATTTCTTTATGACCTTCATTTTAAAAAACTTCTAAATAAAATGGTCTTGGGACTATTTTTGAAATTCAACCCCGAAAAACGAAGGAGGCTTTCAGAAGCCCAAGTCAAACCGGATTGGAGTCCTGTAGCTCAGTGGTTAGAGCACTCGCTTTGCAAGCGAGAGACCTGAGTTCAATTCCAGGCAGAGGGCGAAACCTCGGGCAAGTTTCCTTACTCCACACAGAGCCTAATAATAATCCCTCCAAAACCAAACACAATAATAAATTGGTCATTTTCAATCTACGACTGTTTGTGGGACATTGTTGTCCACAATTGGCTGCCGCGTTCGCCCACAAATATACAGTCAATTCACTTTACAGTGCGTTCTGTGAAGCGCTTTGGGACGTCCTCCCGACGTGAAAAGCGCTATATCAAATGCAAGGATTATTATTATTATTGCTTCGACATTTCAAAATTCATCATTATTCACAAAATAGACCACAAAACCATTAGACAGCGTATTCCGTGAAGCGCCTCGAGACGTCCCGGGAGACGTGATCGGTCGGCGTGTCAAACGCAAGGATTACCATGAGTATTAATATTATTATAGCCATAGTAATAGTGTGAGTGAGTGAGTGAGTGAGGGCTGATCTGTTCCCGCCAAAATGCCCGTGCATTTTCATTGATAATTTCCTGTGGCCGAATCCCGACGTCGTCATGGCAGCGCATCCCAGTGGGTTCGGCGCGCAGCCAATGGGGAGAGAGCATCCGCCCAAGCGGTGGCCAATGAGAGCGCAGGGAGCGAGATTTGAAAGCCAAGAGTTTAAAGCGCCTTTCATTCGGCATCAGAGAGACTGCGGCTCAGGACACACACACACACACCCACCCACCAGCTGCTTGGTTTAAAGCCCCCCCCACCACTTTCTCTCGTTTATTCACTACATACTCACCTGCTAACAATAGCTCCAACTCGCCGCGTCGCGGTAAGTGTACCGGTGTCTTTTATTTGCCTGTGAGTGTGTGCAGTGTGAGTGTGTGCAGTATATCTCGCCTCCTCCCTTTCCTCCCTCAAGGCCGGTCTCAAGACCTTTCTCTTCGACCGCGCCTTCAGCTCCCCTCTCGACTCTCTACCCCCTTCCTCGCTCCCTCCCTTCCCTCCCCTCACCCTGACCGTTTCCCCCCCACCCTGCTCGGGTCCCGACCCGACTGTCCAGCGCCTTGGGACGTCCTCCCGGCGTGAAAGGCGCTCTGTAAATGGAATCTTGTTGTTGTGTGTGTATAGTGCGTGTGAGTGAGTGAATGTCTTTTGCGCTCTGAGACGCCGTCCGGCGTGGAGGGCGCTATATAAATTCAAGTTGTTGTTGTTGTTGTTGTGTGTGTGTGTATTTGTGCCTCAACTGTCTTTTCTCCCCCAAATTCAAGCCACGATCCGCTCTGCGTCACCTCTGTAACGTCGCCCGTCTCCACCACTAACTCACCCCTCAGGCCGCTGAAACTTTTGTTCATGCCTTCATCACCTCCAGGCTCGACTATACAAACGCTCTGCTTGTCGGCCTTCACAACTCCTCCCTCCACAGGCTGCAGATAACAACAACAACAAAATTACATTTATAGAGCGCCTTTCATGTCGGGAAGACGTCCCAAAGCGCTGAACAGTCAGGTGTCGGGCCCGAGCATGAGTGAGGGAAGGCAGAGAGGTGGGAGGGAGACCAAAGGCACGGTCGAAGAGAAGGGTCTTGAGACCGGCCTTGAAGGAGGCGAGGGAGGAAGTGAGGCAAAGGGACCATGGGATGGAGTTCCAGAGTGGGGGCAGAGAGGCTGAAAGCTCGGCCACTGATGGTAGGGTTGGGCGGGAGACGTGGAGCATTCCCGCACCAAACTCTGTGACCCCATCTCCCCCATTCTCACCCAACTCCATTGGCTCCCTATTGTTCAGAGGATCCTGTTCAAGATCCTGGTCCTCACCTACAAAGCCCTCCGTGGTCTCACCACACCCTACTTCTGTGACCTCCTAACCCCCTACCAACCAGCCCACTTCCTCTGCTCAGCCGGCTCTGGCCTGCTCCATGTCCCCTGTCCCACCCGCCCCACCATTGGTGGGAGAGCCTCTCTGTCCCCAACCTCTGGAATTCCATCCCCCAATCACTCCGCCTTGCCCCTCCTTCAAGTCCCGCCTCTAACCCTCCTCTTTGACCATGCAATCGGTCACCCCCCTTCCCTTCCTCTCCCTCCCTGATCCCAGCTTAGGTCTGAAATGCTACACACTGTCCAGCTCCTTGGGACATCCTCCTAACGTGAAAGGTGCTATACAAATGTAATGTTGTTGTTGGTGTGTGTAGAGGGTGCGCGTAGTGTGTGTGTGTAGTCGAGAACCTGGGTGTCTTGTTTGACCCTCAACTGTCTTTTCCCCACATCCAAGCCATGACCCGCTCTGCCTTCCCTCACCTCAGTAACATCGCCCGACTCTGCCACTACCTCACCCTCAGGCCATTGAACCTCTTGTTCATGCCTTCATCACCTCCAGCCTCAACTATGCAAACTCCCTGCTTGTTGGCCTTCCCAACTCCCTCCACAGGCTGCAGATAATCCAGAACTCTGCAGCCCGTGTCCTCTCCCTCACCAAACTCCGCGACCCCATCTCCCCCATTCTCGCCCGAATCCATTGGTTCCCTATCCTTCAGAGGATCCAGTTCAAAATCCTGGTCCTCACATATAAAGCCCTTAATGGTCTCACCTCATCCTATCTCTGTGACCTCCTAAGCCCCTACCAACCTGCCCGCTCCCTCCGCTCAGCCGGCTCGGTCTGCTCCACGTCCCCCGACCCATCCACCGACGAGAGAGTCTTCATCCACTCTGCCCCCAACCTCTAGAACTCCATTCCCAATAATCCCTGACCCCAGCTCAGGTCTGAAATGCTGTACACTGTCCAGCGCCGTGGGACGTCCTCCTGACGTGAAAGGCACTATACAAATGTCATCTTGTGTGTGCGTAGTGGGTGTAGAGTATAGTGTAGGGGGATGGGGTTGTTGGTTGTTGTAGGTGTGTGTATCGTGTGTGTGTGAGTGAGTGCTTGCTCACGAAGCAGAGAGTGGGAGGTATTTTCAAGTAATGTGAATTCACTATCGTAATTCAATCGCCTAAAGCAGAAGCAGGCTTTTTTTGCGTGTGTGTGGGGGGGGCGGCGGGTGGTTGTGCCCAAATTGAGCATCGATTTCCTCTCCTCCCCTCCATAGGTCTGCAGGACTGGAAAAATACCCGTCTCTTAATTGTTTCCGACTGTGGGAGCAACGTGGCGTCAAGTCGCTACTGTTAGCACAAGCATCTTAAGACAAGACCCTTGGAGGTAGAAAATGTTCTTCAGATAACGTGCATTTTCTTCTTGCTTTACTTTAATCTGGAAAAGGGCAAGATTGCTTAATTTCAGCCTGTTGGTAGTAAGCAAACCTTTGCTCAAAAAGGTTTCTGAATGAGATTGCATTTTTTTTAAAAACTGTAATAACAAATCTCTAGCATCCCCCCCCCTCTACTCATTGCTAGCAAAACCTCTGGCTTCCGGAGAAACCTGAAACAGAAACTGACTTGCTTCTCTTCCTGTTCGGTACCCCAGGTGGGGAGAATTGCAATAGCAAAGCACATTACTTGTTGCAGTAATTAACGTTCATTGGGCCACTCGAGACCTTGCCCCAGTGAACACAGTTTGCTGCCAGATAAAAGTGGCTCAAACCCGCACAGGTATGTTTTTGTCTCTCCGCAAGAAACGTACTCTGTGGTACAACTTCAGCCATCAGCAACCAACTGGTACCCACTTCGCTGGGGTTGTGTTCCTCATGCGCGCCTAGCTTTGCAATGAATTTCTGACTAGGGTGCCCTTGCTTTTAAATTGTCTGTAGCAGACACAGGATGCAGCTTTATTTTTAAAATTAACCACCCCTTCCCCACTTCTATTTTCTGCCCTCTCTTTGAAACGCTTTCTTTTTTTGTACTGGGTTCCAAATACATTAGCAGGGTTGGTAGTTCATTCTCACTGTGTGAGCCTCAACGTATGCTAATGACTACCAACCCCCTTCCCGCCTCCCCCAGCTTCTCCCTTTATGGGGAGAGATGCAAAACAGCTGAATGTTAAACCACAGAACCTGCAACTAATGTCTTCTGGAATTGAGGTAGGCAAGGTTTGCTCTTCTGGGTAGTGTCTGCACTCCCAGGTGCATGATGATTTTAAAGAATATAAGAATTGCTAGACGAAAGAAGACCAAGGTCTATCCAGTTTGCCTTCCGCTATCCTGGCAGTTGCATGTACGCTTAATGCCCCACGCTATAAACTTGTATCCCGCGATATAATTTCCCAACAAAAACCTGGGTGCAGGTGGCATGCTTATTATGGTTCTGTCTGACTTGGATATTTAAGCAAGGAGGAGGGGTGTCTTGTCATTTAGCTTTGCCAATGAGGCACCCCAGTAATGATCTTTTTCCTCTCTGAGGCAGACTATGAGGAACATGGAGAACGTGTCTACAATCAACCCACTCGGCAAGTTAACGGTTCCCACGAGGAGGCCTGCTCTAGGAGAAATTGGAAATGCTGTTCTAACCCGAGCTGCAGTGCAAGTAATGTCTTCATATGTAACTTTTTTTTCCTTCCTCCCTTCCCCAACTATTTCTGTGTCGGTGTGGTGGAAAATGTGATTCCTTTACTTGTGTTTTTTTTCCAACAGAGAAAGGCTAATGTAAAAGCCCCTCCCAAACCAGTGGTCCCGAAAGCAAAGGTGTTCCCGGAAAAACGAGTGGGGCAGGAAAAGCGTTTGCTGCTGCAAGTCACACAGCCTGTACTCTATGTATGTGTCGTATTCCTTCTTTGAGATGTTTTTTTTTCCTCTAAGGACGAATGATTTCTCACTTTCTTTTTTTTAATATGTAAAAACAGAAGGCTCCTCCATGTCCAACACCTATGGATGTGTCCATTAAAGGGGACCAAGCTTTTTCTGATGCCTTGCTGGGGGTGGAAGATATTGATGCTGAAGATGCTGATAACCCTCAGATGTGCAGTGAATATATAATGGATATCTACAAGTATTTGCGACAGTTAGAGGTATGAGTAGCCTTTCCTTTCGGACCCATGGCGGTGTATTTGGTCAAAGGGGGGCCTGCCTGACACTTATAGAAACCCATCACCGTGCTTAAGTATATCCAAGCCAAACTGAGAATTCCATGCATCCCAGCTATGCGTGGAAACCCAAAAGATGAGATTGTTGGAATGGAATACGCACTCATTGGTAGCTGAATCCTAGCTATTGTGTTGGACTAAAATGTTGGACTAAATTGCAAAGCACTTGCTATCTGCATCAGATTGTTTGGTGTGGAATTGTACAGCTTAGTATCAGTATTACACAGCCTTCGATACCGCCAAACTGGTTGCAATTTAGCACATGTAAAAGCTTGTAGTGGTTCCTGATTTCAGGTGCAGCAGTCGATCAAAGTCAAGTACCTCGCCGGCCAAGAGATCAACGAACGGATGCGAGCAATTCTCGTTGACTGGCTAATTCAAGTTCACTCCAGGTTCCATCTGCTCCAAGAGACTCTCTACATGGGCATAGCTATCGTGGACCGTTTTCTGCAAGTAAGCTGAAGAATTCATAGGAACAGATGTTCCTATGAATAACAGGTGCTCCGCAAGCCTGTTTCACCATTCTATTTTAGAGTATGGCTGACCTATAATTCAACTCCAATTATCTGCCTTTGCACCATATCCCCTGGCCTGACAAAAGCCTTAAATTTGAATGATCAAACATCCACAGCCTTTTGCGGGAGAGGGTTCCAGATTTCCACTCCTCTTTATGTGGAAGAAATACTTCCTGATTTCGCTCCTAAATAGTCTAAATTCTTTGCAATGAGTAGGTGTAGTGGAATTTCTTGGTCACTGTCCATACTATTGGATAAAGTTCTGGCTACACAAACCTTTTGTAGGAAAAATGGGGTTAGTGAGCGAAGCAGTAGATTTGTATTTGACCCTTTACGCTTCTGGCCTAGATCTGAATGTGGATATTGCAAAGCTAGCCATTTTCTAGGAGTAGTTGGTATAGTTCTACATCTGAATCTAACTAAATTGTCTTTCAGAGCCAGCCAGTTTCTCGCAAGAATCTGCAGCTGGTCGGTGTAACAGCTATGCTTCTGGCTTCCAAATATGAGGAAATGTATGCTCCTGAGATAGGGGACTTCGTGTACATCACAGACAATGCTTACACCAAGGCCCAGATCAGGCAAATGGAAATACTGATTCTTAAAGAGCTTGACTTCAAATTGGGTCGTCCACTACCACTCCACTTCCTCAGGAGGGCTTCAAAGGCTGGTAATGTAAGTATGACAAGCCACTCTTGTGTCTGACTATTATGGAGGGAGGGGTAGGGGGCACCATTGCTGATTGATTTTAAGTAACAACAAATTGCACTTGTATAGTGCCCTTCACTTTGGAAAGACTTCCCAGGGCACTGAACATTCAGGGTTTTTTGGACCCAAGTTGGGTTCTGGAGGGCATGGGGGGGGGGGGGGAGGGTGGCTGAAGGCAAAGCTGAAGAAGATGGGATGGTTACGTTGGCCCTGACTTGACTAGTACCGTGAAGAAATCTGAAAATTCAATTGACTTAATGGTTTTCCACTTGCTGTACTTACTGCAGGTTGATGCTAAGAAGCACACGCTTGCAAAATACTTGATGGAGCTAACTCTTATGGACTATGATATGGTGCACTACCATCCTTCTGAAGTTGCTGCTGCTGCACTCTGCTTGTCTCAAAGGGTCTTGGATCAAAGCAAATGGGCAAGTGGTGTCAATTTTTTTGAGCATTTATATACATATCTGCGTAATTCAGTTTTTTTTGTTCTATCTACTATTTCTCTAATTGAGTCCCACTGCTCACACATTACAACGGTTTACCGTTGTTTACCAAGACCTGCTAATGTAGAACCAAATGTCAGCAGCGGCCAGCAAAGAGACAATTGGGATTCGGGGGCCGAGAAGAACTTAACTTAATACTCTTCTTTAAGATTGTAGTGGAGTGAGAGTGTATTCAGGTCTTGCAACTGACTGTTGAACTTGTTCTGCCTATTCAGACACCAGCGCTGGCTTACTATACTGACTACAGTGAGGAAATCTTGCATCCCATTATTCAACACTTGGCAAAGAATGTGGTGAATGCAAATGAAGGACGCACACATCATTCTGTAAGTTGTATTCTTCTCCCTCCCCCACCCTCTCTCCCTCCACCTTTTTAAAGCTTGCCTTGAGTCCTTTCTTTGCAACTGCTTTCACTTTCTCCCCAGCTCTTTCTTCCCTTCTCGCTTTCCTTTTCCTCTTCTCTCCACACCCACCCCCCGCCCCCTCCCCCACCTCACCCCAACCCATACACGCCTCTGGCTTGGGCTCCCAGTCGGTTTGAAGCACTTTGATTCTTCCACCTTAACAAAAAAAAGTCAAGTAATAGTGCGTTCTACTTCTTAGGCTATAAAGAACAAATACGCAGGTGCCAAGCTACTCAAAATCAGCACAATTCCTCAGCTAAGGACTGCGGTTATCAAAGACCTGGCGGCTCCTCTATTGAAAACTCTTAGCCTGACAGCGAGAGACACTCCTTGCAAAATAAGCTCTTGCACTTACCTGAGAGATGATCTGCTGCTACAATGTAAATGTCAACCGTAAGATTTGTTTTTAAGACTCTGGGTGAAGCTTTACTGTCCTATCGCCATGTTCACAGGTGAGTGCTTTCCCCAGCTCAAAATAATTATCGATACTTGGTATCTTGATCAATATTGGCAATTGCTCACTCGTGTCTATTATAGTCTGTCAATCGGGGCTAGGTAGGTGGTGCGGCTTATCACAATTTAAAATGAGACGAAGGAGCAATAGGGAATCGCATTAACAATTTTGGCCGATTGAGAACCAAACCAGCATGAAGGATTTAAAAATGTAATTTTTTTTGGTTTAAACTGCAGTAAATGTTGTTCCCAGATTTTATTGAGCATGATGGGACTCCACCTAGCAGACCCCTAACCTAGACTCCTGTTGGAAACTTGCTTTTTAACACACTTTTCTCTTCCCCCACACCACTACATGGGCTCTAGTCTAGTCTCCTGAATGCAAATTATTGACCATCCTATCCTGGTCATGTTGTGGTTTTAAATCGATGTACATTTTTGACCTGGAAGCAGAAATTTTATACTTCTTTTGGGCAAATAAAAAAAATAAAATTTTTGATCCTTTTTTTTTAAAAAAAAAAATATGACTACTCTTTACAAAACTGAAGTGTCGTATCGGGGTCGGTAACTGAGAGGATTGGAATGTCAAAAGACCTTGGATGTGTCCGAAATGTCATCTTAGCTTGGTCAGTAGGATTGGCGATTTACTTCATGGATGTTTTGTGGGCAGTCGCTGTGCGCAAACTGGCTGACCTGTTTGCCCACAGAATAGTCGCTGCATTTAACAGTATAACCTGATGTGAAAGGAACTATAAACCACATTTAATTGAATGTTCATTGCAGATTGTATTAGTGGTACTGTAATAGCTCAGTCTCTCAGTGATATGCTGCCCTCTCGTGGCCCGTCCATGGCAATTCATTCTCCTCCTATTAGAAGGAACGATAGATTGCCTACAAAATAATTATATTTTACAGTAAATCCCACCCCCCCCCTCCACTCCCATTGTAAATGTTTCTATATTGAACACAAGAATTTTATTGGATCGTAAAGGCTTTGGGTGAAGCGTTTGATCTCCCAGCTAACCAAACCTTCAATCCTTAAGTTGGCTGGATTCTGTGGCACGATCAAGTTTTTGTTTTTGGACTAATTAATGTATTGAAAAATGTATTCTTAAAAATGCCATGGATAGTAAAATGCACAATTTTATTGTCCATCCAGAAATCATCCATCCTTAATGCATTGCTTTCAGACTGTTTTTATATATTGAATTAAAAAANTCACAATTGATAAACAAATATGAATAAATGGGTCTTGTGTTCCCCAAACCTATGGAATAACCTAAAACCTGCTGAGTAGTGCATTAGATAAATGCCTTTTGATTCCCATTTTCCTAATGTACACTAAAACCTTTGCACTACTTACATCAGAAAAAAAGCACTTTAAAATATGGACCAGCCACATTTGCACTTACTTAAAAGGCACTTGTAATCTTACATTTATACAGTACTGAAGTCAAAAATGCCATTAAACCTTCATATTGTGCACAAGTTAATCAGTTAGGACATTTGGTGGCTTTAAATATTTAAATTGAGAATATTTTTTCTTATTTGCTCCCCACTCCACACATCCCCGGCTTTCCTTTGGGTGTATCCTCTGCCAAGTCTTTCATATGTGGCAGCAACAAATGTCTTTTCATTCCCCAATTCAAAAACTACTTCTTAAAGGGAAGGTTCACCTTTTGTCAATACACTTGAAAACTTAGCATTGACTAAAATGAGAGATTAATAAGGTGTTGCCAAACAGGCACTTAGAACAGTAGTAATAAACCTATATATATATAGGCCTTTTTCTGGTCCAAGTTAAATGCTACAATAGTGTATAAGCCTTCATTCCAGGGGATGGTTATAAATACAATAAATTACATTTCCTTCAGTGCTATCACAGCAGCTGTGCATCTCCAGCCTACACTGGTTGTAGACTTGTACTAAGGCCCCCCCCCTTAAAAATTCAGCCATCTCAAAAGTTAGTGTTCATATCTCCAAAAGTGTCTTGATTTGTTATTTGGTTTTGTCCATGTAGTTTGAAGACAACACCGCTCTAGATCTTGGCAACGTAATTGTTGGGGAATAATCCTTGCTTTCCTCGCAGTCTGCCAATCCACCAACCTGATGGATCTGAAACGGGAGAGAATGCAGGTATTTGTTTAGGAGACGCTTTGTCAAAGACGACCGTTTACATCTAAAGATAGTAGATGGTCACCTTGAAGTGGACACAGCATAGCATCTCTTCTCTCTCCCTCAAATGGCTGTGGGCAAAATACATAATATTGCTAATTTGCTTCCTCATCTGCAAAAGCACTCAGATGAGGGCAGTAGCTGGCTTGGTTGTGATGCCTCTTGTGAACAATAGGGTGCTGACGCTCGCAGTCTAACGCTTGCATGTAGCAAAAGGGCTGGTGTATGAGTTTGGGAGAAGTGTTTCCACTTTAAATATTTTCCAGTTCAAATGTTAAGTTGCATCCTGTACCGATTTGCAGAATGCATTGCACAGCTTAACACTGACTGCTCCAAGGAACAGGCTGTTTTATGTGCCTGTGATAAACGGTACGCAAAGACAAACTATGTTGGCCAAGGTATCTAATAGCTTGTTCAGATCACTTGTGTGTTACTCGATCAGGTCTGTCCTGGATAAATAATGCACAAGATGACTGACTGTCCAGTGTGTGTGTGTGTGTGTATACCTACAGCCCTGGGGAATTTTTAATTATCATGTTATCTGGATGTAGTAAGGGATCTATCAAATGATTGTTTGCTCAAGTATTTGACCCCATCGCTTGGGATAGGGGGGAGCAAGACAGAGCTCCATTGTCCTGTGGCAGTGCTTCTGCTCACATTGGGAGATTGGTACCTGCTTGGGGACGAAATGTGACATGAATCAGCAGAGCCAGTGTTGGGCCGGATTACACTGTAAAGCATTGATCATCGAATCCGCTGGCCGGAGACTGTCTCACTTTACGTTGAAATTTACATTTAAAATCTTCTGAAACATGCAACAACAAAAAAATATATCAATATAAAAGGAGAACTCACCTTCTCGAACAATCTCTATAACGTCATCGGCATTAAAGCTGAGCTCGTCCGTGTCTTGAGCGTCGTAAGCGTACAAGGCTTTGCAGTGAGGCACGTGAGGCTTGGGTTTGGGCTGCGGTTTGGGCCGACCTCCGCCTGGGGTCGGGCGGTTTGTCGTCTGTCTGTGTTCCCTGAGATGAAGGGCAAGTGTGTGAATTTCAACGGTTTGCACTGGACGCCTAGACTCTCGTGATCTCAGAGCAGTCGGTCAGGGAGCACTTGCCATTAGATGTCTTGCTTCCCCTTTTTTTTTTGTTAATCCTAACTTTTTTTTTCTCCCCCCACCCCCCACCACCCTATGAAATGTGCCCCTCTGTCATATTTAGTTCTCTTTGATAAGATAGAATGTGGGTCTCGTGGGCCTATGCTGATGAGAATTAGCTAATAGTTAATTAGCTAATAACGGTAGGAAATCTGGCACTGATGAGCCAACTTTAACTTCCAGTTAGTTGCTGATGCCATTTCCTGCATTACATGCAAGAAACTCCTCTTGACTGCCACTTCATGTAGGCGCTGACATCAGCTGCGTCCCAATAACCCACACGCTGGTCATCTTTCACACTTCCCTTATAATGTGACAGCTGAGTCTTTGGACTCCCAAGCCGACTGCCAGAATAGTAATTCTGTGTAGCAGGTAAGGCAAAGAAATGTTTCACGGGCAAACCGAAGCCTGGGGGTAAAGCAGCAAGCAGTGACGCACTGAACTCCTGATCAAAAGCAAGAAATCATATAAAGGTAAGGTGTGTCAATATGTACAAACCAACCACTACCTTCCAAGTGTTCATCACTTGTTCTACACCAATGTAACCCAAGGCTTTTCCTGGGTTGGTTGGGATGGGAAGGTTTCGTAAGACATTATTTACTGTGATTGGATCTATTCATTTTTGTGAACAAAACAATCTGTTTCTCTCTCACTCTTTCTCCTTTTCTTCCCTGTCCCCTTTGCAAGAATTGGGGGAGGACAGGATGCAATTCCCCCCCCCCCCCCAGGGTTTTTTTGGTCACCCAATTAATTTTCACTGCAAATAATCTCATTACATCTAATTTTAAAGCATTGACTGGTGAGGATACTTTTAAGTGAGGTTAGTGCAGAGGGAAGTGTGAAGGGGGTATTTATTCTTTATTTGCTTTCTCCTCTCCCCCTCCCCCCAATTTATGTTGATCAGCTTCAGGGGGTGGCTTACAACAGGGGAGAGAGGTTGGATCTTACACCACCTCCCTCCCTGCCTGCCCAGAGTTAGAGTCAACCATTTTAGCACAATATCCTCCCTACACCACCAATAATGTCTCACCACATCTATAATCGCATTACTAAGCACTGAAGCATTTAATGTAAGCACCTTCACCACACCCAAAAGCAGCAGCAACCAAACCACCACTCTAGACTCACTTTCTTCCATTTGCTTGTTTCAGTCCTGTATGGTTACTATAAAAAGGAAAGATTTTTTTTAAAATTGCATGCGGCGACAGAACAGACTACACTCCAGCTAATATTGCTTAATCGTATAGAAATACAGGGCAGGCATCTGCCTTCTGTCAGCAAACAGCCGAGAAAATAAACAACGCTGTACTTCATTTGAACGTAAAGTGTCTCTGGTATATGGGGTTGGAGTGTGACATTTGCCAACTGGATTTGTTAACTTGTGAATCTGCAAAATTGGCAAAAAAATCCAGCGATATTTGGCCTTTGTTTTTGATTTGCCAACTGGGGATTCACAAATTCCATATTTTCCAATTTATTGTAATTTAAGGCAACAAATGCACTCTGTGAACATCACAGATGAGATCCCTTTTAAGTCTGGTGTATAGTTTGAGCCACTGTTCTGTACTGTTCAGTCTCCTTGAGAAGTGGACAGGGCAGGTATCAATGCCATACTATGAGTCACTACCAGAGGAAACTCTTTCCCCAGACCCTGGTGCTCAAACACTCAGTAGTGATGAAGACATCCAGACGAGTCTACTAAACCTTCATCACCCCCCTCTCTCTCTCTGTTACTCACATCCTGAACCACTGAAGCTGCACACTGGGAAAGAACAGAGATAGATCCCTTAAAAACAGGGCACTGATCTATTGTTCGCAGGCGAAAGACTTCACCACTGACACACGGCCAATGCTCCATCCAATCCTGTCACTCGTGCTGCTTGCAGGCTCTCCAATTCAAGCTTATAGCCTCTCCTCCCCCAATGCACGTTTCAGCAATTTGAGGCCAGCTCATCCTTAGTCAACCTCAACCAGGTGATCGACTGAGTTAGGGAATGTTTGCCGGGCTTCCCCCACCGGCTCCCCCTCTCAAGGCTGGACTATGGGAACTCTCCTCGCCGGCCTTCCCGGCACCTCCCTCCACAATCTGCAGGTCATTCAGAACTCTGCAGCTCGTGTACTGTCCCGCACCAGGCTTCGGGACCACATCACTCCCACCCTCGCTCGCCTCCACTGGCTCCACATCCACCAGAGGATCGAATTCAAGATCCTCATCCTCACCTACAAGACCATTCATGGCCTCGCTCCCTCCTACCTCTGACCTACTATCCCCCTACCTACCTGTCCGTACCCTCCGTTCCTCTGGCTCTGGTCTGCTGCACATCCCCCGCCCCAACCGCCCTACCATCGGTGGCCGGGCCTTCAGCCTCTCAGCCCCGAGGCTCTGGAACTCCATCCCCCAGTACCTTCGCTGCTTCCTCCCTTTCCTCCTTCAAGGCCGGTCTCGAGACCTTTCTCTTTGACCGTGCCTTCAGCTCCCCTCTCGACTCTCTACCCCCTGCTCGGGTCCTGACCCAACTGTACAGTGCCTTGGGACGTCCTCCCGACGTGAAAGGCGCTCTATAAATGGAATCTTGTTGTTGTTGCCTTACCCTGCTGCGCCTCGCTCCGGCACTTTCAGGAAATCCAGGTTGTGCTGGACGCGGGAACTCTTGTCTTTGGAGTTGGTGCCGGTCGCAGGCAGCGAAGGGCGGTCGTTGGCTGTGGCCGCTGTGGGCATCCGGTGACCGCCTCGCAGATTCGAGGAGGGTCGCTGCGGGTTGCCGTAAGCGCTTTTTACGACTCCGTTCTGATGGGAACCTTGAAACAATATAACAGAAGCCACGTTTGCAAACAAAACTACAGAGGAGCATCTTTGTTCAACGCAGTTCGCCTGAGCAAATACAGAACAGGACCTTGGTTTAACATCTCAGCTGAAGGACGACTTAAGGCTAGATACATAGAAGTATTCTGTACTTCTCCTGTGCGTTCAGCGGGCTCCGGGCTGCTCCATGCCTCCCACCCTACCATCGGTGGTCGGGCTTTCAGCCTCTCTGCCTCCACACTCTGGAACTCCATCCCACAGTACCTTCGCCTCACTTCCTCCCTTGCCTCCTTCAAGGCCGGTCTCAAGACCCTTCTCTTCGTTCGTGCCTTTGGTCTCCCTCCCACCTCTCTGCCTCCCTACACCCCTCCCCCATGCTCGGGCCCCGACACCTGACTGTTCAGGGCTTTGGGACATCCTCCCCACGTGAAAAGTGCTCTATAAGTGTAATTTTGTTGTTTACACATAGAAATACGTCGGAGTATTTTGGGGCTTGTGAACGTGTTACCTTTTGGGGGAGGGGGCGCAGCACGGATTGGGAACGATGCGGTTTGTCCTTTGATCGGTTTGGCAGCTTTTCGTCCTGGCGTGGGTTAAGTCCCTCCTTGTGGGCCCTGAGAATAGAAGTGGCAGAAACTTGTCAGGCAGATAACTGAGTGCGTGACTGGAGCCTTAGAAACGACCAGCGAACGTTCGAGTTTTAACGCGCAGCTCACGAATTGGCTGGAAACGCTCCACAGCCGTAAGCCCCTTTGATAGGGGCTGTGCGAAAGGGGTCGTCACACTTACGGGAATTCTTCGGCAGCCCCTGACCGATGCTGACCTGCAGGCTCTTGTTGTTGGCTTTCAGGACAGGCACGGCTCCGTGGCCTTGAACAAACTGAACCTGTCGAGAGCCGCCAGCCCCCCACGGGCCCCAGTTATCCTTCCTCACCTTCACTTCGAGCCTGAGAAGCAAGGGGACACGAGCACTCGATCACACCCGGGGTTTTACACCGACTGGAGCAACTCGCCTAGAAATTAGCTCTTGTGAAACTGAGCGCAGCTGCTGCTCGCTTTGCTCAGCGGTAATTCTGGGAGTAATAGGCGCAGGTTGTCGAGAGCCAAGGCTTGAGGAACCCCAGAGTGTGTGTTGGGGTAACTGCTGGAGTCTGACCAGCTAAAACCACATAGCTTGCTTTTGATAGCACTGTCCGGCAAGCTTTCCTGCTGCTTGTCCAGCTCGGACCACCTTAGGGCTAACAGGAGTTGATTAACTGAGCACAGCTTGTAGCAGGAGTAGGTGGGGGCAGAACTCGGTCTATGTTTCCCAGTATAAGAGTGCAGCACTCAAACACTCACGTGTTGCTGAACTTCAGCTGCAGCTTCCTCTGTGTTTTCTCCTCGTAGCGCTTGGCCAAGAGGCTGAGGAATTCCGTCTTAAAGACCGACTCCAGCAGACTGTCGTACTCCTGCTCATGCAAAATCAGGAAATCGTCCTGCATTGTGCTGCAACGAAAAAGGGCTCACATTATCCCTGAGTATTGTAAAACCTTAGTAACAAAAGGTGAAAAACTCTGGGATAGTAACAATAATAATAATAATCCATGCAATCATGTCTCACGACTCCTCTTTGACCGTGCCTTTGGCTACCCTCCCTGCTCTCCCAAACCTCTGATCCCAACACTCCCAGCTCAGGTCCAAATCCCCGACTGTCCAGCACCTTGGGACGTCCTCCCGACCTGAAAGGCGCTATACAAATGCTATCTTGTATGTGATTTGGGGCCTATAAATGTTGAAACATCTCAAAGTAGTTGATTGTAGTGACTGTGTAGTTGTAGGTGCATGCGCCAGCCGATTTTTAAACATATTAGCATTGTTTCCCCCAGTCAGCCGTGAAGTGAACACCCAAGGCATCTGGAGAGTTGTTAGTTTGTCCCTTTCGACTACTTTTTTTAGCGGTAGCTTTCAAGAGGAGAGCTTTCCCAGCCCCAGTGTAAGTGCTCGCATGTGACATCTAAGAAATAAAGGACTGCTTAGAAAACACTGCCTGACTAGCATTTGTCTCCTTACCTAAATTGTACAGCGTGCAAACAGGCCCTTTGACCTGACCAGTTCATGCTGTGTTTATACTTCACACGAGCGTCCACTCACTCACCTCAGTGACACCGAGAGGATCTTCTCGACCTCCATCCTCCTTTTCAGCACCTCTTTCACCTGGCCTTTCTCTGGCCCCTGTTTTACCTTTTCTCGCCCGATCATGTAGAGGCACTTTGGGGTGAGGACGAGATCCCGTTTCACAGTCTGCAACAAAGACCTTTCACGTGAGGAGAATGAGCAGGGAAATGAGAATAAAGCATCTAACTCACATTGGCGAATCACGGCAGTAAGTCCTTACGTTAAGCTCAAATCCCATCAACTTTGTATTTTCCCACTTACCTTAAACCTTCGGTCGTACTTCGTGACGGTGTCCGCAAATTCAACCTTCTCTCTTTTCCCTATGAACTGCCTGAGCTCTGGGCGATCATCCATCCCGATATAATCGCCAACAAAGTTCCTGTTGATGCTGTTTCGCCTCCTTTCCTTTTTGTTCAGCAGCAGATTCGACGCTGAGCAATAGAACAGTCAGACGAGCACAGTTAGTTTATCCTTGGAATACCACTGTGAAACGGAACGAGCAGCCAACACACACGCCTGTTCCCGTCAGATACAGCCTCCGAGCCGGTGCTCAGTACGTACCTTCCTCTCTCATCTGTACGTATTTCTTTCTGGCGATATATTTCCTCCAGGCCTTCTGAATGGCCCGCGCGTATCCATCGTACTTCCTCTCTCTCATCTCCTCCAATAAAAAGAGCTGCGAAACAACACACAGACTGTCTGGTAAATTCATTCGAGTTTCAATTTTGCTTATGTGATCACCCCCCCCCCCCCCCCCCCCCCACACACTCTCTCTAGCTGTCTCTTTCGCTCACTTCTGATTTGATCCCTCCTATCAAGTACCGTACTGACACTTCGCTGGGTTCTTTGGCTTGTTCCGTCAATAATACGGGGGAGTGGGGGGAAGGCATCAAGGTTGACCCCAAACATCTCCCTCACTCATGTCCAACTACTTTCCAGGAGGGGACACCGGACAGCAACGAGGAGCTGATTGAACCCTATTAGTCCAGGGGGTCACTAACGCCAACTGAAGCACCACAACCTGATTTGAGCTCTGACATAGCAGTGTTAAGACAGGAACCCGATATGAACCTGCAGTGCGTGGCGTAGGTCTGCTCTTGCACACCAGCCTGTGGGGGGAGCTCTAAGCTTAACTTTTCACACCGTCAGCATCAGAGTCTGCAGTGGAAGCAAAAAACATATCAGAAACTATTTGCTGCGTGTTTAACAAAAAAAAACATTCCCTGTCCAGTGTGTCCCTGTATTGCACGGAGTACGTTTTGCCCACAAAATGCAGTCACTCCACTTTACAGTAAATCCTATGAAGCACTTTGAGACGCCTCGGGATATGATAAGGCGCTATACAATATGATAATCCACAGCTATTTGTCTGACGCTGCTGTGCGAAATTGGCCGCATTTCGCCCATAAAATATACAGTCAATTCACTTGACAGTATATTCTGTGAAGCGCTTTGAGACGTCTAGAAGACGTGATAAGGCGCTGTATCAAATGCAAGGATTTTTATATTAAATGTAACGATTATGATTATATTATTACATTCAGCATCCCTTTTGCAAAAATGTTCCCATCAAAGTATGAATGGAGCTCACTGGCGAGAGATCAAGTGTAGGTGTGACATAAACTGTGACTGTAAAGTTTTGGAGGTTCCGACGTTTAAACCTGAAGCTTTGGATCTTCTTAATGCACACTGACAGCCAGGGTTCATTGAAAATACACTGCATTTGATATAAAAGATGCTTTGACTCTATGAATAGACGGCACGGGCTGCTTTAAACAGCTGAGAGTGAAGGGACAAGGTACATTTTGGTTATGATCATCCGAGCAAACGTTTTGTAGAGTATTCGGCCCAGACGTTTGGTTAACTGGCCAGCCTCCTCCTGCCCACAAAGTTTTGCCTGTGCTTTCAGCCCTGATGTATGAACAAGTACCGCTGGCATTCCTCAGCCTCCTGTCATTTCCTGTGTCAACATGAAATCACTTTCACTTGTTGTTTGAGAAGACTAAACATCCTGCCCCAGATTCTCAGAATTCCTTTGATAATCAAACGTGGAGATCCGTGGCTAATAAAGGGGTAAACTCTTAAGGCCCAGAAGAGGACGTAAAGATGTCTCGCATTAACAATCGCACAAGATAAAATGCCAATCAAAGGGCTTTAAAGGAATCAAGACCATTTATAGTTTCCTAAAGCTAATGGATCTCCCAATGGCAAGGATTCAGCCCAGTTGAGACTCAGCCATGCAGACCAGGAAGGTCCAAAGTTCAGTTCCGGGTCTGTGTTGAATTAGCTGAACCCAGCTGCTGCAGCAGCGAGTCCTACAATTGACCCCAGTCTGCATGTCTAAGTAAGGGGAGAGGAATAAGCCAAGCTGTAAAAATGTCGATTGTATTGTATTCAATAAGCCACCCCGAGTGAAAGGGACTTTATAACTGTCAATTTCAGTGCCTCTGGACGTCCTTCCAACACGAAAGCCGTTATTTAAATGTAATGTGCTGTTGTCGTTGTCAAGAAATCCTAGTGGGACGGATGGCGACAATGATAACGGAAGCAATGACTTGATCAAGAGTTTCCATTCGCCCTATGGAAGCAGGTCCACCAAGTCCATGTCAGAGATCCCAGCACATTTGAATGTCTGACTGGCAGGAGCTTGGCAGAGGAGCTCATATTTTACTGCCTCCAGTTTGCATTTGGAGCCAAGAATAATTGAAATATGGGGCCAAATCTGCACTTGCTGTCTGTGCATCTCTGATCTTAAGGCTGAACCCATCTCCTTTGTGGACAAACTGAAACACAGATCACCATTAGGGTGGAATGTTTGCAAACTGTTGGTTGGAGCAGTCACGTTGTCAGTCTCTCTCAGAGATCTCGCTTAGATGAAAAACACTTATTCCATTAAAAAAAACAAATGGCACATTAGCAAGATGTAATGTATTGCCCTGGATGCCACGGCTTTAAGGGCAGCAGGCTTGCCTGGTGAGGTAGCTGCAATCTAGAGATCACAGGTTTGCTCAGCTGGGTCAAACAGGAACGAACCTCAATGCTGAACCTCAATGCAGCAGAAACCACAAGTCATTTTGGACGCATTCCTTCTGCTACGCAGATCACACCACCAGAGAACAGTAGGAAAGTGTTCCCAAGCCGTAGGAAAGGAAGAACATTCAAATTCACGGCATCTTATCATGTTGATTGGACTAGGGTTTCGCTGTGTTCAGTGCAGTAGCATCTCCTATCACACTGAAACATCTCAACGGTCTTCGCAAGTAACTCCTGGCACAAGTGTAGTGACTGTTTTTGTAACCGTACATGCCAGCAAAGTCTCACAAGGTGAATGGACATTTAATCTGGAGGACTAGCGCTCGGATACTGGGTGGGGGGGGGGAGGAAGTCCTCTTCAAAGAGAACCTTGGGAGCTTTGACGTCCAACAAATATCAACTATCTCAACCTAAGGACATGGACATGAAGCTAAGCGGAAAAAGGAAAGGCTCACGTACAGACTCCGGGGCTTTGATGAAGAGCTTTGTTTTCCCCAGTTGGTACTGATCCTGATCCACACTGACGGACCTGAGGAGGTGGACAACTCCTTGTTTCTCCTCACCTCTCCAGGCTGGCCAAGTCTCCTTGGTCAAGATTGCGTACCTAGAATTTAAAGGGATGACTTAGTTCCTTGAGAATTGGAACAAGGGTAGAAAACCACATAACTGATCAGTACAAACTTGTCTTCAAAATACAATCAAATGTTAACATTTTTGACAAATTCTGCTTAGATTTCGGAGCAAATTTGGATACTTCTCTCGCTATCAGGAGGCCTCACCTTTGTAGGAATTTCTTAAAGACTCGTCTGTAAGCGTAGCCTGCCCTTCGCACTCTGATATTTTCCTTTAAACCCAGATACTCCACCTGGTGCTTAACCCTAGGAACAAAACACAGATCGAGCGTTAATTCTATCGCCAACAATTCTCTTTCAATTTTTCTCTCCTTTCCCTCCCTGAATGTAATCGACTCCTTCCGTTCTTCTCCTGGGGCTAAGGTTCCACATCTGCCTGTCAGTTCCCAAACCAAGTGATCTTCCAGTGCCTTGGTCTTCCAGCATGCAATGGAGCTCACTGGGCAGGGAAACATCCCATCAGCCTGCAGGGTACGGTTAGGGTTAGTGCTCCGAGACCCTCCTCTGCATGAAGAGCACTGTATAAATCCAATGTGTTGTTGTTGTAGGGCATTCCTGGGAGTCGCCCTTGAGTGTCGCACCTCTAGGATTTATGGCCCGGATAAAAACATGAGCGATTGGAAAGGATGTTTACGCTGTTACCTGCTCTCCTCCCAGTCCCTGGGCTTCTTGGTTTCATTGGGTTTGATGCAGCGGATGTAATGGGGCGTACACTTCATCAGGGTTGCCACAAGATCGTTTGCCTGTTTCTGAAAAGACACAAATGTGCAAAATAAATCTAATAAACAGCGCTGGTTGTCACCTCCAAAACACAGCACAAATGGTAAGAGCCCATTTACAAGAATCCACTGCTTAAAACACTCAACTGCTTCCTGATGCCTGAGTAGACAGACAGGATTCCTGCTGCTTCTCATCGGTATCCAGTGACCCCTTCCAATCCCTTCCCCCCCACCCCAGTTGGAGGTGCACACGTGTGGGCATAGAGTGAGCAGATAAACAACATGCAACTCGGTAACACTTTCTATAGTGTTGGGACTCAACTTTATCAGTCTGGACTGTAATTCTTGCTACATTTAAATAAACTTTTGAGTTATCCAGACTCTGAAATGTGCTGCTCGGTTGCTACGGTTATATGATTGTCACTTTCATTTTCGATATTCAAGAGATGGGGATGGACGTAAACCCATTTAATGTCATCCTCATGTCCCAACCCTACCTTCTGCCCAGAACAGCATCAACCTGTTTCTTAAATGAAATGAAACCCAGTGACCTGACCTTTAATTATCTTGTTCCACCTGCTGATTACACATCACGTAAATAAATACTTCCTCGTGTCTGTTCTACAATTTGCTCCAGGTTTAATTTCTGCATTTCAGTCTAGTATTTTAAAGAAGACCTCAAATAAGTTGTATCAGTTGGAACCATACATTTAATGCGATCTCTGCAAAGTCTGAGTTATGTCAAACTTGGACAGAATATAAACTCTTGAACAGGACTCGGGTAGATGTACGACTTGGGTGATTGTACTGATTGTACAGGCTTATGTGAGTTTTGCTGTACATACGCTTGCCAGAGTTTGGATGAGAAGCTCTTAAGAGCACAGCGAGAAGTGAACGTTCAACAGACACGAGCGCGGTGACGATGCAGCAGAACATTCCCGAGGGGAGCAGCTCACATCGGAAACTGGAAATTCCAGTCAGCCTCGTTTCGTCAACGCACAAGAGCATGAAGCCAGGGTATTACGTGAACCCACCATTCAGCAATCGCCGGTGATCGGCGCATTTGTCAATGATTTTAAACAATGAGACCTTGGGGTGGAGCCTTGGCCAACGAGGCACGAGCAGAGAAATGCTGTCAAACATGGATGAAATTGATCTGACACACAATGTGGTTTAAACTTTGACAAATAATCTCAGACCCATGGGCAATTATAAGGGGGCGGAGGTAGGGTGGGAGGAGAAATCGGGACATCTCTGCAGAGGGAGAAAAAGAAATATATAAAAAGATTGAATGAAAAAGAGCAGCTACCAAGAGATCTAGACCTTACCCAAAAAAGTCAAGATTTATCCCACTTTCTGTGACCTGGTTAGATAAATAATGGAATGAAATTGTAAACCAGGCAGTAATTTCCCACAACTGTGTGTTCTGTTCCTAAGTATAACTGGGGTTCCCGTATCAAGAGGGCAATATTGAGCCATTCCCTCAGTATGAGGGCTTTGCTACTTGTCACAGTAGAACGCTGGTTACGAGCAGTACCTTGATTTTGGTGCCTGCCGTCGTGGGTCGACCTTTCTTTTCTGATTGTAGATTTTCGGGGAAAATTGTACGGATGAAGGGACTGTGAAAGCAGCAACAAACACGGTTAACAAGCCAAGCAAACCAATGTTTCAAACGACAGGTGAAACAGTCGGTGCATGCATATGGTTTACAGAGTACCCTGTGGCCCACTTACAGCTCACTGCTCTGCATGAGCTCGATCAAGTCATTGAAAAGCACGTCCCGATTCCGCTCACAAAACCCCTCCACATCGTAGGACACCTGTAGAGAAAGGGACATTTCAAGCACCTGTAACGTACTTTGGTTCCAAATTCCTCGCCCCCATTCCCAACCCCCTGCAAAAAGAAAAAAAAATAGAATCTTACAGCACAGAAGGAGGCCATTCAGTCCATCATACCTGTGCCGCCTCTTTGAAAAGAGCTGTCCAACTAGCCCCACTCTCCCGCGCTTTGCAAATGTTTCCTTTTCAAATGTATATCCAATTCCCTTTTAAAATTATTATTGGATCTGCTTCCACCATCCTTTCAGGCAGTGCATTACACTTTATATACACACACATATATACATATACACACACATATATACATATACATACACATATATACATATACATACACATATACATATACACATAAATATATAATATACATACACACATATACATACATACACACACATACACACACAGGTTTTTAAAAACTCCCAAGAAAACGCCAGATTCAAGTTTAATAGATTTCTCCAAAAAAATATTTTAACAAACCTTTTCATATCGCACCTATTGTACATATTTGCAATCCATTAACTCACTTATTCCTCCAATGTCGGCTACAAGGTTTAATCATCTGGAAGGCGCGGGTTTGCTTTGACAGGGAGAGATTTACTCTTCTGTGAGTTCCCATCTACCACATTCCCAGGGAGATGGTGACTAATACTCCGTGCGCTAAATACACCCAGTTGCCAAGCTTCACATAAAAGCACAGCTTCCTGCTTCTGTTCAGACGGGAGTTGCTGAATACACAGGCTCATAAATCGGCTGTTTTAATCTGCCGTCTATGCATCAAATCCTGACGCAAGCAAATAAAAATCTTAACAAACAAAGTTCTCTGTTTATCAGGATTGGGTTGAGTGAGGAAGCGGGTGCTGGCCAAAGTCTTGTGTCAGCACATATCTAACACCATTACTTAGCCTGGGCTGAGCTCCGAGTCTGTACGGTGAATCTTTCCCATTGCGAAATGGTACAAAATAGCACAGCGATGCCTCACAGAGAAGCAACAGCCATCTGCCTGCCGACGGACAGACTGGAAGTGTGGTGGGCAAATGCATTGCAATCATTTGAAGTCCTGGATTTATGAAAGAAACCAACATTCTCTTTGCTTCATTTTATAAATTTCTTGACGTTTTCAGATTCTTAAACTAAAATAAAATCGGTGGGGTCGCTCATAAGCTCTGCCCTGACAACTCGGCTGGTACAGCTCGGAAGCGGATTATTAATAATAATAATACTTGCATTTGATACAACGCCTTATCACATCGTTGGAACGTCTCAAAGCGCTTCACAGAATATACTGTAAAGTGAATTGACTGCATATTTTTGTGGGCGACTGGGAAGGACTGTGATTCCTTCCCTTCCTTCCCCTTTTTGGCAGTCGAACAGCCTGACATTCACTGTCTGGATTGCACATCGCTGTCACCTTGAGGCTGGTGCATGTGTATAGCACAAGCCATTGCCTGTCTGAATTCCCCGATCAGTGACATCCTGCTGTACGGTAGTCGGTTACCTTGCCTGCGTAGTGGTGGATGATGAACCCCTGGTTCCAGCTGTTGAAGTGCTCGTGAGTCCCGATCTGCATCTGGAGTTTCTGCAGCAGCGTCTGGTCCGCCCCATCCCCCGTCGCGTGCATCGTTGCGCACACGTCATCCAGAATACTCAGAATGCCCGGCGGATTCTACAGTACAAGGCAACACACGTCACAGGCCTCAAGAGTACGGACGCCGCAATATTAACAGTCTATGCAGAGCAGTGGGTGCTCTTGGATTATTATTATTAGAATTGATAATATTGCATTTGATACAACGCCTTATCACGTCTTCGAGGCGTCTCAAAGCGCTTCACAGGATACACTGTAAAGTGAATTGACTGTATATTTTGTGAGTGATTTACAAACGCACTGCAGTGGGTTTGGTAGGAAATGCAGCAAAGACTTTAGTGCACAGCCATGAAGTGAATTGGCCGATTTTTATCTGGGGGATTGTTGGCCAGGGCATATCATCTGCATCATTACCCTTTGCTTTCAGTCGTGGCGAAATACTGAAATGAAGGATGAATATTTCAACCAACCAACAAGAATACAAAATTCGCTCCTCATACTTACAAGTTTATTCTCTATCAGATCGCAGACTATTTTATTGTTGAAGTAATCTATAGGCGTCCATTTAATTCCTTCTTGCACATATTCTTCCTGCAGGCCATGAGAATATTGCATAATTACCGATAATCCATACAGACGTCAAGCAAAGACAATTCTAACTAAGAGCTAGTTACCAGTTATGAGGCAGGTAGCCTTATCTAACTCACACTCAGATCCACTGACTATAACAGTCTATTGCTCCAGTGCTATATTCTCCAGGATTCCTTGCAACGATTTGGGAATTATGTACAAAAAAAACATCTGGAGCAGATCTCTCCTCCCTTTCTGTTTACGATCACAATAGTTTGTCTTGTTCCCTCTTGTTCCTCTGAATGTGTTGATGTGTGTGGTGTGTGTGAGAGAGATTGTGTGTGTGTATGTATGTGTGTGTGTGTGTGTGTGTGTGTGTATATAACAGAGAGATTGTGTGTGTGTATATAAGAGAGACTATGTATTTGAGAGAGATTGTATGTATGCCCTTTGTTCCAGAGTTTGTGAATGAGATCATTCAGAGCAAAGCTGTTCTGCGAAAGCATTTAATAAACGTGCCCTCTGCCATGTAACAAGATCACACAGTCCAATGCCATTGTCCAGTTAAGTGCATTTTGCTTTTGAGACAATTGGTTTGGAGCAGGAAATATATAATAATAATCCTCTCATTTGAAATCCCAACTTTTGATGTCGGGAGGACGTCTCAAGCCATGTTGCAGGATGTATTGTAAAGTGGAGTGAGTGGTGTGGGTGTGTTTTGTGGGGGAGCAGAGCAGACACCGACATGAATAAATTATACGGAAATTCAGGATGCTGTTGCAGTGGATAAATCATTAAAGTTAAAATGGACGAGTGACTTAACATTATCAATAAATAAAAGCACCACATTGTGCCATGTCATACCTGTTCAGCTTTCAGAGTGAGCTCAATAAATATCTGCTGGAGTTTTTCATTCACAAAGTTGATGCAGAACTGTTCAAAGCCATTTTTCTGCCAACACAAAAGGGTGGGTGATGGTGGGGGGGTGGGGGGGGAGGAAGGGGAAACAATCTCAAATGAGTTATAATTAAAATAAAACATCAATGTTAATTGACTCCTGTGGGGAGAGAATAGAAATCGTGCCTGGATCTAGACTTCAATTTTTAACGATTTGAGAGCTTGCAAATTTAGGGCCAATTCTTAAACTCAGTCTTAATTTTGTAGCCAGCTTTTGGTCGGCTCTTCTAAGAACTACAGAAAAAATGGGCTTCAAAACTGAGCCTGAATTGAAGAATCGCTTGCATGTTTTAAGAGGCTCCTAAAAATAATCTAATAATAATAATATTGATTCTTGCATTTGTTGATGCCTTCACATCTTTGAGACATCTCGAAGCGCTTCGCAGGATAGACTGTAAAGTAAATTGACTGTACTTTGTGGGCGAACCACAAAATATACAAAAATCTAGAATCCAGGTAGAGTTTCTCACTCTGGAGGAGAGCTTACTAAAAAACATCTAGGAGACGGGGAATATCAGATAGAACTAACTTATATTCAAATACTTTAGAAATGGATCATTTCATTCAAACATGATGGTTCCATTTCCGTGATTTTTTAAAAATATAAGTAAAAGCATTCATTGCAATTCACAACCGGGAAGCTCAAACTCCTTACTTGGAAGATCTCAAAGCCGTAAATGTCCAGTACACCAATGTTATATTCCTCTTGTTCTTTCTCCATAGCCTTGTTAATGGACTGGAAAAAAAAATACAAGCTGTAATTCGCAGGTTGCGGAAAACTAAATAGTCTGCATTATTATAATACGATTGCAAGAATTTCACAGTCAGGATCTCCCATTAGAAACAGTTAATAATAGTAATAATAATACAATCATTATTGCATTTAATACAGCGCCTGAAACATCAAGATGTCATGGCTGTCTGAGTGCAAGTTGGCTGACACGTTTGCCTACAAATAGATAGTCACTACACTTTACAGTTTTTATGCACTACACTTTACAGTAAATCTTGAGAGACGTTTCAACAATATTTGAAACCACGATAAGGTTCTACACCAAGTGCCAGGGTTATTATTATCTAAATGTCTCAAAGCGCTTCACAGGTAATCGACGTGCAGTGACTGTGTATTTGCAGGCAAATGCGGCAGCCAATTTTGCGCACAGCAAAATCCTACGCACAGCCATGAAGTGAATGAGAAATTCATCCGGTGGATTCTCGGCATCTACCTTCTCTTTGCCAAACAATGTCAGACTTTGTAGGGGAAGGGTAGAGTGTGTGGGGAGGGGGGCGGGGTGAGGAGGGGAGGGAGAGGAAAACTCACTAGAACATCAATAGAGTTTTAAAAAAATCAATTAATCTACTTGATTCAATGAAAATAATCAACAAGCCTCCGCTTGCTGGAAGCCACGTTGTTTCTGAGTAGATCCAGTTTACTTACATACACCAGATAGTCAAAGATGCGGGAATGAAGGGCCTTGGATAATGCATCTCTGGTGTAGCACGCCTGCTCCACATTCAAAGTCACGTTAATGGACTCAGACTTGCCTCCCCACTTGCTGTCCATTTGCCGGCTGGTCAGTTTTTCCTTCAGACGCTCCTGATTAATCCCAAGGAGAAAAGTCGGGAACGCCAGGACTGCAGAATAAATTTCCTTCGTTAGTCTGATTGAGGAGTTATCGCTGAACAGTTTTTATATGGAAATCCTTACTCCTGCCTGGGTACACCCCACTGTACAAGCGTGTGGTCTTTTCTCCGATATATAAAATTAAAATCTGAAGGGAAACAGGTTTGTAGCCTCGTCTGGTCTGAGTTAACTGATCTCAGATGGGGCAGCAGTTAAGTCCAGGGAAGAAAAAGATGAGCCAGGTTTCCCGCTTCTCCTCATCCTGCCTACATATCCCTGCAGCAAAGAGCGCTTGTCAGACATGAGATGAAGGTAGGATTGGGGCAAGCTTTGGCTGTGATACCCACAGTTGAATAATCTGCAGTAATCCTTGCATTTGGTTTAGCGCCTTTCACATCAGCAGGACGTCCCAAAAGGCTCTTTGCACAATTTTATTGTGAAATGGAGTGACTGGTATTTGCGAGTGAACGCGGCAGCCAATTTGCACACAGCGAAGTCCCACAAACAGCCATGAAATGAGCGACCGATTTTATTTGGGGGGATTGTTGGCCAGGACACCGGGAGAAACTCCCTTCTCTTTCTGAATAGAGCCATGGGATCTCTAACGTCCACCTTAATGGGCAGACGTAACCTCAGTTTAAAATCTCAGTGTCATCTTAGACGATGTGATTTCAAATCTCAACCAGATGAGGTCCACTCAAAAGAACTGGGAGGAATGACTCTAAACGTGGGAGCGAGAGGTGGGGGGGGGGAGGATTTCGAAGAAAGGAAAGATCCATGTTGCTACTGGTCATAAAATGGTTCCAGTGAAACGATAAAGCTCTGTTTCAAATTAACGTCAAGTCGGTGGGGGCTCAGTGGAAAGGCACAGATGTTGCCAAAACAGGACCCAAGCTCCCTCAGACAGACTCTGTGCTGCGGGCACTGAAATTGTGATAGGAAGCACGGCAATTAGGGAACGCTACAAAAGGGCCCAAACAGAAGAGAAGGCAAGGCATCTCTTTGCAGAAATACAGGGGGAAAAGAAAACACGCGCGCGGGAGAAGGGAACAGGAAATGAAATGCTTCCCTGCGCAGGAATGTTCAGTGATGTAATTCACCAGTAGCCATCTGGGCTGCCATTTATTATTCCACAGCCTCGCTTGATTTATTGGTACAGCTCGCGAGAGCAACTCGAGTTGTAAATTCAAGTGCGGGCAGCCCGGCCTCTTCAAAGGAAGCTTCGGGTCAGAGTTTGTACCGCTGAAGGAGCTTTAACAAACATCAAAATTAATTTCACACAATGTTTAAATTCAGGGAACTTGGCCAATGTTACATGTATTTCCTAAAGTCATTTGGAACCGTGGCTTAATTCTGTGGCTGCTGAAAAGAGGACTCATCAATCACCCATACTGCAGTTACTCACTAACCTTTTGTTGGGGCTAAAATCCCCAAATCCCCTCTCTCTCTGTCTCTCTCTTATACGAAGCGCAAGAGAGTTTTGGATTGAAGAAAAGCTTTCACTTCATGATCTCCAGAATCCCCTCCCACCTCCCATCTACCTCCCATAATAATAATACCAATAATCCTTGCATTTGACATAGTTCCTTATCTCACAGTCGTTGAGAAGTCGTAAAGCGCTTCACAGATTTTGTGGGCGAAACGCAGCAGACAATTGCGCACAGTGGTGTCCCACAAACAGTTGTGGATTGAGTGACCAAATTATTATTATTATTATTATAGCAACTAGGCTTTCCTTGAACAAGTCCAGGGTCTTGGCCTTTACTGCCCTCCTGAAGTACTTCAAAATTAAAATTTGTTTTGGATCTTGGTCCAAAATTCCACCCGGTTTTAGCCTGTAAGGCCAATTTGTCTTAAAATTTAAGATCTTGGAGATTTGTGGAAGATTCTTCAATTCAGTCCTAATTGGGCTTTCCATGATTGGTAAAAAAATGAACCCACTGTATAAAGTCCTGGCTCATCCAGTGCTTACACTCTTCGCTCTCCACTGCGGCATAGTTGGCGACCTCTTTGAAGTTGATGTTCCCGAGGTGAAGGACACCAGCTACAATCTGCAGGACCATGGCCTGTTCGTCGGAGAAGATCCCGATCACGTTCATAGCATGCTGGGAACACACAAACATTTGCATCATTGATGGCAGCTGCCAAGCGACTCAGATACAGTCGGACTATGTTACAGCGCGGTGGTTTGGGACCATCATTATGGTGGGCAGCGTACGCAGGAAGTCAGCAGGTACACTAAGATGGTACAACCTGCCCATTGGCGGAGTTGGTGAGGCCGAGAGCAGAAAGGCTGGACAATGCGAAGACTTACCAAGGTTTCCTGAAAATCCTTTTTATCGTTAATGTCGTCCACTTTGTAGGAGCCCGACTGGTTGAGGTAATAATAGTAGTCTAGGTTGGTAATGCCCAGGTTAGACTTTTGATCTGCGGAGGCGCCTTCGATAAGCTGGAGAAAATGCGAGCGAGAGAGAGAGAGATCAATAAGGACAGCAGTTTATCAAACTGGGAAATAAACTCCCATTCTCAAAGGTGAACTCTTGCTTATAAAGAAAAACCCAGCCATCAAACATCTGTGTGGTGGTGCAATAAAACATGCTAATCCGTATCATTGCAGTCTATTGTGCTACTTTGTCAAAAACAGTGTAACAAACTGGGAAGAAATGTTGTAAGGAAACAAACGGCAAATCGAATCGCTTAAGATGCTGTAATTTGCACAAGATAACACGGCTTTGTGTTCAGATACAATTGGCTGTAATAAGGCCAATATAAAAGCTTCAGTTTGAAGCATGTGGTTTGAATACTTTTCTAGGAAATTGGGTACATTTGGAGTCATAAGATTTACTAGTTTTGTGATTAAGTGCTCTCTATTAACACATTTTACTTAAGGAGAGAGACTTGCTCTGGGTTCATCCATGCTTTCCGTCATTACCGCTCATATCGGCAGAAATGGGTAGCCTGTGGCTCACTGAGCCGCCCTCAGCCGCCAAAGCAGATGCTCATTCTTTCTAACTTAAAGGACGTCCGAAGCTTCCGTTACTGACCTGATAAAAGATGTGGAAGCTTCGTTCTCCGGGATTCCTTGCAACGACCCTAGATTTTTCCAGTAGGAAATTGGAGATTTTTCCACCATCTGGCTCTCCACCGGGGCTGAACTGGATTTCAAAGTATTTCCCCTGCGCAGATCAGTCACACTTTAATAACACGGAAAACCACAGGGCACAAAGCAGAGGCTATAAATTACCCCCTAAATGTACTTGATTGGTGTGTCAGAGTTATTAAACTCCAGCACGACATGTTTACGATGCCACACAGTTACACAGAGTCTTTGTATCAACAAAATCTTTTATTCTCCCGGTTTAATGTAGAAGCTTCAACATGAAATAACGTATTCAGGGCAGTCTTCCCCCAGTGATGGGAGAACAAGGAACAATGCAGTTTGCATTGCTGATATGTGTCGATAACCATCCTATACCAAGCCTCCAATTGAGTTTTTATTGGGTTTCGTATTCACATTTATAAAAGGACAAAAGGACAGAGTAAATGGGAGTCTCATTCAAAGTGCAAAACAGTGAAGGGTCATCAAACTCATCACTACATTCAGCACTGCCCACTTCACTGCATAAATAAAAAATAAAGCCGACTCCCTGAGAAATCGTATCAACCTAGAATTTTTAAAATATAATTTGGCCTTAAAATACGGGCAATTCATGTAACCTCGTGGTCAAGCAACCCACATCCTAAGGGAAAGAACATAAAACATTACGAATGGTTCAATCCCTATGCAATGTTAGCAATGTTTTTTTTCTTTCATAGTCAAATTGTGTTGAGTTGGTTATTTTTGCCTGTTCTGCAGTTCCACATTCAATATTAAAATTTCCTCCATTTCTTTCTTTACATTTGCATTTGCCTTCTCCCTTCTCTACTTTTCCAGTCGCTCAAACCCACGACAAGATGTCAAAACAGGAGTCGGAGATTAGGACTTACAAATCGACTGGAGTTATTGTTCCTCACTGTTTTAGCGTTTCCGAAAGCTTCAAGGAGAGGATTTGATTGTAGAATGATGTCCTTGACGTGCTGTAGGAAAATGGAAAACATTCAGCAAAGTCTCGGTCAGAGGGCTTAACAACTGAGTGTTTCTCCCTTCAAAGAGAGTTGATGTCTGCCTGAATCATCCACATCAAGGCAGCAGCTTATACAGTAATATCCAATACAAACAAGATCAGTGAACTATAAAGTGCAGTTCACTGAAAATGTCATTTGATATAGCTATGCTTCCTGATGACTCAATGGGTAAATGCATTGGCATTATGTGAGACATTCAGAAAACTGAAAGCTTCCCCAAACTAATAGTCCGCCTCTACTCCTATAACTCCCAATACTTGTCAGGGTATCTGGGTGATACCCAATGGAACTAGAAAAGGTTGACATTCTCTGTGACTCACACAGTACACAAGTTAATGGCTCTAATCTTGCTATCAAGAGGTTGTTGAGAAATCAAGAGGCATAAAAATGTGATTGAAACGTAGGAACGAGAGGAAATTCCGTCCACCTGAACAGGGACAGACAGGATCTCGGTTTGACTTCTCAGCCGAAGGACGGCACCTGTGCCAATGCAATGCTCCCCATCCAACACTGCAATGGAGACGAGACAAAAGTTGGGGTGCAACTAAAGATTATTAATTCCAGCAGCAACCTACATGATGGTGGAGAGGCAAGCGGTGAAGAAAAGATTTGAACGAAAACTGCTTCCCACCTGGACTTTGGGGCCACCTCCTGACACTCTGGAAACGTAGCCCATGATGTATTTTGCAGCCACCGTCTTTCCAGCTCCACTTTCGCCACTGGAAGAGGAGTGCAAGAGAGAGAAAGAGAAATAATAAAGGGTATAAGAAAGGAAATCCTTCATGAAGTCAAATCCACCACCTTCCTGAATTGCATGGTTGAACATCATTAACCTCATCTTGAAGTTTGGCCACTGCTTCCTGTTCTCATGCCTCCTCCACTGATATATCTTTTCCTACTGCCGTGTTCTACACCTGACCAAATAGCTCCCAGTAAAGTCACTCCGTCGATGAAACTCATGCAGTGACAACGACTTGCATGTATAACACACTTCACATAACAGAAATAGCTTGAATCGCTTCGCTGAAGGAGAATAAGGAGAATAATAATCCTTGCATTTGGATGTAGCGCCTTATCACATCGAAGAAATATCTCAAAGTGCGCCTCAGAATTTATAGTGTAAGCTTTAAACAGTGTAAAATGTAGCCTCTGGGTGTTTGTAAGCAAATGTGTGCACAACAATATCCCACAAGCAGCACTGAATAAATCAGAAATTTAGCATAAAATGATAACATTTTATCTGGAGGATTGTTGGCCAGGACACCAGAGAAACTCCTTTCTCTTGTTGCATAGCGCCATGGGATCTTTAATGTCCAACTGAAAGGGCAGACGGGAACCTCGGTTTAACATCTCGTCAGAAGGATGGCGCCTCCTGAGAATTCAACACTACAATTCAACCCAACGAGAATTAATCGCTCCAAGGCAGACGGGATCTTGTAAATTAGAGATTTTTGGCCATATGTAAAAAAAATCAAGTTGAGAAAAACAATGTTAAATGGCTGGGAATCCCCGATGGCTCTGAAAGAAGAGCAACGCTGATGTTTAGGCCACAAGAATGGATTGTCCATCAGGAATTCAGGCTATTAAGATAAAACAATAACAGCAACAGCAAATGCCCTGTGGGCAGATGAGCAAAAGGAAGGGAAGAGCCTGGCTGGAATGCTGCCTGCATTTTTGAGCTTGCAGAGAAGCGATGAGTATGCAAAGTGACAGCAGAGATCTCCATTATTTTACTGCTTGTCATGTTAATGGTCTACACGCTCACCGGTCCATGATTTACAGGAAATCTCAGCCTGTGTTCCAGGAACAACAACAGCATTGCTTGTAACTACAACCACAGCTTTTAATCTTAACTCAAAGTCCAGGCACACTCTGGTGGTGCAGTATGGGGGTAGGGTGGGGGTGGGAGGTGTTATGTTGTTTGCAGTCCTGTCCTTTGGGTGAGACCCAAGTTCCCACCTTCCTGTTCGGGCGCTCATTAAAGATCCCGTGGCACTCTTCCAAACAAGAAGGGAGTTTTCTCTGGTGTTGGACCAACAATTCCCCAAATAAAACTGGTTTATTCCCTTCATGGATGCTTTTTTTTTTTGCAGGACTTTGCTGTGTCTGGGAAACAGTGATGGGGTGGGTGGATGGGTGGGGGGGGTGAAGAGGGGAAAAGGTCATTTGCAAAGCAGAAACCTGGAAACTGACAAGGTGTTTATTGTTTGCAAAGGTTGGGCTGCAGTGACAGTATAAAAGCAGCATTTGTTGCTCTCCCAGCAGACAAAAGAAACCTGATTTGGGGCTCCTGTTCTGGTGGAGTTCATTTGATCCTGTATAGGTAAAGAGCTGGCTTGCTTCAGGCCCCCTCCCCTTCCACCTCCATTCAATGCTGTGGAATTTTACACCACAATGATTCTCCGCTCTCGCGACCAGAGGCGACTTATTATTACCATTATAATCCTCGCATTCAACCTGGCGCCTTATTACTTCATCGAGACGTCTCAAAAGCTTTTCACAGGGTTTACTGTGAAGCGTAGTGACTGTGTGTTTTTGTAGGTGGCCCAAATTTTGCACGGTAGTGACCCACAAACAGCCGTGATCAACAATAACTTTGCATTTGGCACAGCGCCTTCCACATCGGGAGGACGCCTCAAAGCACTTCACGGGATTAACCTTGAAGAGTAGTGACTGTGCATTTTGAAGGCAAAAGCGGCAGCCCAGTTGAGCACAGCCACTTCCCAACAAACAGCCGTGAAGTGAAGTGAGCGACTGATTTTAATCGGGAGGAGGACGTTTCAGATGTGAAACCTGAAGCTGCGGAAACGACCGGAAAATGTTGCCAGCGCTGAAATACGTGTTTTTCTTTCTTTCCGCCCCCCCCCCCCCCCACCCCCACATCCCCCCAAATCAAGAGAGAATCCCGCAGGGAGCCCATTAAAACACACAGAAACTGGCTCTGGTTTCAACCGAGCCTACAGTGGATGTTTCCCTGAAATCTCTGAAACAATGCAGCCATTACTGTTGTAATTAAGCAGCGAGCCGTTCCTTTGATGCCCCTTGGCCCGTTTGCACAGATGCATGTTACGGTACCTTGAGGCTGTCACTATCAATTGTTGGGACCCACAAAACAGGAGTCTGGAGACGAACTGCCCCATCGCTGACTACACCATTGTGCAGAAACATGAGAAAGAATATGCACACAGCACTCGCTCACTCGCTCACTCACAAAAGGCACAATTTGCCTTTTATTGCAACCCGAAGAGGGAACTGGGAAATGTTCTGTTCTGATAGAAACAGAGCCATTAGCAACTGCCGGTTGGGGGGGAATGGGGGGGGTGTGGAGGAGATGAAATGAGGGGACGAGGGGTGGGATAGAATACTGAAGGATCAAACCATTCTCTTGTGGAAGTGACTGGAACAGGATTAAGCAGGAAGGATTGAGCTGCAATGTTTGGTCTGTCTGTCAGTGAACTTAACACAACACAGCGTTCAGCAGTGTTCATTTGGTCCAATAGCCTAATTTTGAAGAAATTAAGTTTCCGATGCGATCTCTGCCATCAGATTAATCCCTAGATTTGGTGTAGAGCCTTATCGTGTTGTTGAGACGTCTCGCATAGCTTTGTACGATTTACTGTGAAGTGCAGTGAGCGTGTATTTGTAGGTGAACACGGCAGCCAATTTGCACGCAACAATGTCCCACACGCAGTCCATGAAGCAAAGGACGCATTTTGTTCACCGGAAATCTGGGAGAAGCGTTTCTCTTTTCGAATAGTGCCATGGGAAATCTAACATCCGCCTGAATAGACAGACGGGATCTTGGTCTAATCCCTCATCCGAAGGATGGCACCTCAAACAATGCAGCATAAACCCCAGCACTGCACAGATCTCAGTGCACGGATCTGGGTCACAGATCTCGTCAGTTACCTGATAATGACGCACTGATTCTCCCTGTCGATGATCATGTTCCGATACATGCTGTCAGCGAGAGCATAAATGTGAGGCGGGTTCTCATACGGAGCCTGGAACAAGCAAAGCAATTACCAGAAACATAAGGCACAGGAAATTCTCAGGCTCAATCCCTGCTCCAGTGCTGAATAGACCTTCAGCATTTGAACTGAGGTTCGAGAATAATCTCAGTTGGGGCTGGACCTAACTCCATTTTTGTGGCATTTCAAAGTGTGCAAAATGTGGCAATTTCTCAAACTCTTGCAGGAAAATACAGATTCAAAAACAAGATTGACTGCACATTTACGAGGCATTTGACATTAGATTAAGAGATTAAGGGATATGGGGATAAGGCAGGGTTAGGTTATTAGCTGGAGTTAGATTAGAAGATCAGCCGTGATTGAATGGCGGGGCAGACTCGAAGGGCCGAATGGCCTCCGCCTACATGTTATGTTATGACATAAATGTATCGTTTCAGAAATAATAAAAATAAATAATAGTCATACATAATAAATCATTATCCTTAAAGCTGATATACAGTCTTTCATGTCAGGACATCTCAAAGCTCCTCAAGAGGATATACTGTAAAGTGTTGTGACTGTATTCCGTGGTATGCGGTAGCCTATATGCGCACAATAATGACCCACAAACAATCGTGAAATAAATGACCAATACTATTTAGGGGATTGTTGGCCAGGATGCCAGCAAACACTCCCATCCTCGTTGCCTCTACCTTTCACAATATATTTATGTATTTCTCTAGGCGTTTTGCAAATAACAACATAATATAATATACTCACCGCTCCTTGATACATTTCGATCTCCTTTTCTCCAAAGTACGGCATTTGTTTGAACGGATTCACAGAGATGAGCACAGGCCCAATGTATGTCTGCGAAAGGTCCCATTAAGGATCCAGCCACCCACAATACAGCATGAACAATGTAACATGATTTCTTTATGTACATAAATACATAATTTATACTAACAAGAAAATAACTCCCCGTGAAAACATCAGACAAGGAGAAGCAATACAAACATAGCTTCCAAATTGAGACTCGATTTTAAGGATATGCCCAAACCCTGCAGAAGCGTATTTGTTCAAGACAAGGGTTCTAAGGATAAAACCATGAGGAATTTGGGGCTTCTCGAGGGTTTATTCAAACCTTGTATTCGGCATGGGAAGACACAATTGATTGTTTGATCAGGAATCTTTCAGCTTGCCGATGAGTTTTTCTTTCTTTCGCTTTTATTTCTGTTGTGCCCATTCTGATACAAATCAAATTTTACTGACAGAAATCGCATTCCTATGGCGCCTTTCATGTCTCTGACTTATCAGTCAAAATTGCTCCTGGCAGTATATATGCTTAAATAAGCGCTATTCCTGTTCAAAAGATCACAAGATCAGTTGAGATGAAGAAGGCCCATTTGATCTCATCCTTCCAGGAAACCCACCCAACCATCTACCCATCACAGCATCAAGTTGTGTTTTTTTTAACATGAGCCCCAGCTTCTGGCTGCAACCACCCTTCCTGGTGACCTGTTCCAGTCATTAATCACCCTCTGGGGGGAAAAAAATACTTTGTGTCTGTCCTGAAATTGCCATTTGCAGCCCTAAACCTGCGCTCTCTTCTTCTGTTGTCTCAGTGCATCTGAAAGTATTATTCTGGATTTACTTTCTCGATCGCACTAAAAAATAAATCTCGGGGGCCTCCATCAGGTCCTCCCCGTGTGCTTTCGAGATTGAGGAGCTCTCTCGCTTGTTTAATCGTTGCTCGTAGCTCAAAATCTTTCCTAAAGGGGATTGCGAGGTGTTTAGCATGTGGGGTAACATCTTTGTCACGGGGGGGGGGGAAACAGGAACAATACTCACTTTGATTGGCATCGCTGCTGTAAGACCACAGAAGCACTGACACGGGAATTACAGCCCGTCACCAGTTCACATGTTCCTGCCATTAAACTCACAATCTGCCAATTCATTGGACACAGCAGCTTCACAGAAACAAAATCAAACCCAAACAACACTCGACAAAGGTTCATTTGACGAGCAGTCAGCAAACAAGGGAAGCCCCGAACAAAAGCGAAACTCTTCAGAAAATCTTTCCTTCTTTTTTTACATAAAATGGAAGAATTAAAATTTAATTAGACTGAACACTCAGTAATTCAACTGCGCTCCGGCTGAAGCACTGTAAGTGAATGAAGAAGTTATGAGGTGTCAAATGAATATCATACGCACATCCCTTTCAATTCATTCTCTACTGCTGCTTCGATCAGAACTTATCCTTGCTTGGGAGCAGGAATTCTTCCCACTCAGCGCCTGTTAATCCTCAAGACAATGGATAGGGTGATCCGAGCTGGACAAGAAGTGGAAAGTTTGTTTGGCAAGCTGCAAGATTTCAGCTCGTTAAGTACAAGTTGTTAACCCACCCAACGCAAACTCTGGGCTGCCCCAAAGCAGCCTTGGCTCGCACCAAACTGCGACTAACACTTTTCTGGATTGGGTGAGCAGGGTGCGTTCCTGTTCTTTTGCCGACTACAGTGATTTTATAGCTGTAAGAAGACACCCAATACATCTTCATTACAATTCAGATCTTGTTGTCGCTCCTCATAAAATTTTCAGTCGCTGTTACCTTTAGCGCCTTTTGCGATGTTGTTCTCTAATGTCATTTCCCAGTTATAATCGAGCAATGCCAATTGTGCCACATGCAACAATGACTGGAATTTCAGACCAATCCAATCTAACAGGTATAATGGGACGCTACTTTCTTAACGGGATCCTAAGGAACCCGGGTCATTGCAAACAGGAGCTCCCTGCCGGTAATCAGACACACATTATTGCTCATCCCACAATAACTATGCTTCAACAAAATCCACTTCCCGTTTATTGATATGAATTCTAAGGCGATTATTCATTAAAGGATCTTGTCAAGACACACCTCAAACTCAGACCCCTCATCGTTTTTTCCAATACACTTTGAAAGTTGCTGGGATTTTCTCCATCAGGGTTCGGAAGGATACAAAGATGTAGTCGTCCATGTATCGTTTCTTCAAGTTCTCCACAATGCCATCTTCTGTAATTTTGCTGAGGAGAACCATATCATCCACCCCGCTATGCTTGACATTGTGGCTCTGCCAGTGATACTTGTAATGCCCTTTGCTCCCCTGCAGAAAAAACACGGATAAAGACTTATAAACAGCAGAGAATTAAGCATTCGGGCAACACAACTTTCTCAACTTCCTTAAACTTTTGCTCTGGGGAAAGCACCGTGCAGTCAGTGACCAATTATCCAAGGTAACAAGGAAGCAATAATATTTCTGAATTAATATTCGAAGAGCTTTATACTTGCACTGGTAACGTGAACTGTCCCAGAGCACAGAGTCTGGATTAACCTTCCGGATTGGGGGTGAAGGGGGAGAAAAGGGGAAGTGAAATAGTTTCCGATGAAGGGTCACACCTACTGGCCTCTATTTCTCTTTCGGATGCTTATTCTGGGTTTTATTTTAGATTTCTGGCCTTATGGAGGTTTTCTTTGTATCTCCTCCCTTCACTGGGGCCTCACACACTTCAGTTCGCATCCTAATCCATATAAAAAAAGTCTTCATTCTCTCTGGTGGCCACATTCCCAGGCACATCCATAAACACATTGTGTCCATCAGATGCTGGAGAACATCTGAATCTACTTTGTTGATGGAGTGAGCGGCAAAAAAAAAATAAACCTTTTGATCTCTTCCTCAAATCTGTTCCTTCAAACCATGTAATCATTCAAGAGTACATCAAATACTTAACACTTGTCCGACTGCCTAGCCTATGTTCATCTCCAGTTCTCGTTCCTTTACCCCCCACCCCCCCACCATGTTCTTTTGTTCACTTACTTACCCCTTTGCAAAACAGCAAACAAGGTGCTCTCACCACATTCCTTTCATTTTATACACTCAAGATCATGCTTTCAGTGTTTGCCCAGCTTGCTCCCTTTTCCCGACCAGCAGAAACATACATTACGTGACCAAATTTGCCCAAGTCTAACCATTGAGAATATCGAGCTCCTTCTTCTCCCATCACTTCCTGAATTATTTCCTCCAATCTGGTCTATTCCCTCCCACAGCACTGACACTGCTCTGGTCAAAGCTGGACATCCACTCCGTCTGCTTCTTTGTCCTCCTAGACCTCTCTATCACTTTTGACACCATTGAGAGCTCACCTTCTTTCTTAATTGGATGAAGAATGCAAAGAGATGAACATGAACACATTCCCATATTCAATCCATTCAATGCCCAGACTTTACTCTCTGAATATTTGTTACCTAGCCTCACATTCAAGATGTGTAAATGTGTTCTTTCTCAGGTTCAATACTTGTACCATTGTCACACCACACAATACACCTCTCCAATATAACAAATGGGGGTAGGGCAGGGTCTGATAGCAGAACAATATATTTAAAAAAAGCTCATATTACAGACAGCTGAGGTATTAATCTGGAAAACTTCTGGCACTGGAAGCTTATACTTATAGGCAATCCACAATTTGAACCCTTTTTGGGTGAGCTCTTTGTAGTTATCCTGACATTTAATCACAGTTTAGCCAGAGATGTTATTATAGCTAATGTTGGTCATTCATGTCATGGCTGTTTTCAGGACATTGCTGTCTGCGAATTGGCTGCTGCATTCACCTTCAAACACACAGTCACTACTGTAAAATACTGTGAATTGCTTTGAGATGTCTCAATGATGTGATAAGGTGCTGTAGACACAAGCATTATTATTATAATATATTATAAAGAGCGCAATACAGTATATACAAATGATATGCTTTACACTAAACAGTCAATCAAAAAAATCTTTATCCAGTTTTCAGACAGAAGACTTGCAATCCTTATGTTTGCCATATATCCAAGGAATTTCCAGCATAAACCTAGATCCACAGTTCATTAGCTGCTTCTGAAAATTCCTTTCCCATATAAGGAGAGCCAATACCGGGACACAGGAAATAGTCATGTTTTTGATTTAATCGCAGCGACTGCATTTTCTGCTTTAACCAATGCAGAAAGCTTTGTGTTTGGGCCCAGTATTTCCTCCATCATTTCATGTGAAAACACTCAGCAGGTTATGACGATGAGTAATAAATAGTCCTACAAAAACTGCACACTATAGCAAGAGTTTGTTTCAACCTCTGACCTTCTCCCCTTTCACAAATGAGCAGGACTGCGGACTGCCAGCGCAGGGAATGCAGACAAAATGCATCAGACCAGCGGTGGAGTCTGAATGGCTCGGGTTCATAGCACAACTAGTGGCTTTTTACAAACTGAATCATCAGGGCAGCTCAGACCCACCACTGTTAAAATGAATGGGTCAGGCTTATTCGGTTCTTCAACCTGCAGCAGAATGAGATGCATAGGAAGGGCACCGCTCTGGTGTTTGTAGCATTGGCTGTTCCCGCAACAAGGAGTCCTATAGCTCAGTGGTTAGAGAACTCGCCTCGCAAGACCTGGGTTCAATTCCTGGCAGGGCAAACCTTGGGCAAGTTTCCTTACACCTGATAATAATCCCTCAAGAAAAAAAACAATAATAATTTGGTCAGTCGATCCACTACTCTTTGTGGGACACTGCTCTGCGCAATTGGCTGCCGTGTTTCGTCCACAAACATACAGTCAATTCACTTTACAGTATATTCTGTGAAGCGCTTTGAGACGTCTAGAAGACATGAAAAGCACTATATCAAATGCTAGGATTATTATTATTATAACACAGACTGGAACCTAAGCCGCTCTGAGAGGAGATAACAATGGGAGCTATAAAGGGAATTGCAACCTTCATTTGAAAAATAACTAAATACATAAGTAGAAAGAAAGTCGCCATTTTCAACCACTTGAAGCCAACGGAGACACTGAGATTGTCAATTCATCCCACACGCAAATAGGTATAACATCTCTCTTGTTAAGAGCACATCGTTCGCTACAAATACACAGTCACTACACTTTACAGTAAATCCTGGGAAGTACTTTGCAACGTCCTCCTGATGTGAAAGGCACTGTATCAAATGCTGAGATTATTATTATTGCTGTTGTCAGAGCCATTACCCTTTCCCCTGATCTTTGTGGCAAGAGGAATTTCACGCTCTGCTCTCTGATTCCACATGAGATCTCTTTTAAGAAAATATTTGTTCGCTTTAAGTACGTGCCGTGAGCATTTGCAATGTCCATCTGATTGCAAAGTGCACCAACTGACGTTTCAAAACCTGCTTTGTTTTCTTCTGAAACCGAACGCGACTCAAATAGGAAGGAGCCTGCTGTGTGCCGCAAGTTCGCTCCTGCAATTTGGTGATGATCCCTAATGTCTGTCATGGTTTGGCTGTATTTCATCAAGTTGTTTATTTCTGTTCAACAAGGACAAGAGGACAGAGGGAGCAATGGACCAAAGTCAACCGGATTGCCACCCCTGAGATGAGATGACGATGGCTGAGATACACCCAATGCTGGCTCTATTGTTGAATGCTATCTTGTGGTTTCAGATCTGGTTTGTCTGATGCATTATGTTTAGAAAAGAATAGAAGCAAGCAAAACAAATTAGTCAGCTGTTGATGACGAGAACTCCCAATTTTACCCATGCTTCTCACAGAGCTCTTTTTCAATGCTCCGATCTGACCACTAATTATTACAAAGACTTTTGTTTACTGATTTTGTTTTACCGCATGCCAGAAAAGTTCATTGTTACAATGAATAAATAAGCAATAAATCGGTCATTCCATCCATGACACTGCCATGTGCAACTGGCTGCCACATTTTGCCCGCAAAATATACAGTCAATTCACTTTACAATATATTCTGTGAAGCGCTTTGAGACCTCGCAAAAACATGATAGGGAGCTATATCAAATGCAAGGATTATTATTATTATTATTTATTAACAACAAATTTCATTTGTATAGCGCCTTTCACATCAGGAGGATGTCCCAAGGCGCTGGGGCAACAATGCAGTCATCAACAAAAATTTGCACTTATAGTGCGCTTTTCACATCAGGAAACATCTCAAAACTCTTTACAGAGACAGCGTTGGGTGTTTGAGTTGGGTGGGAGATGGGGTGGGGGGGGATTTGAAGTGGTCAAAGGGCACAGTCTAAGAGATAGGTTTTTAAAATCTTTGCATTTGATATTGTGATAAAGGGTTTTGAAAGTAGAGGATGAGGGAGCGAGGTGGAGGGATTTAGGGAGAGAGCTCCAGAGAGCAGGGGATGGAGATGGGGTGCGGGAGTGATGGCAATCGTGCCCGCTAACAGAATCTAAACACACAAGAATAGAGTGGCTTGGGTTGTGCCAGGGGTCTGCCCCCCATACGGGCACGAGTGACAAGTCACCAAAATGTACATCTGCGATCCAGTTCTGAAATGGTTACAACACTTGACGTGCTTGGAACAATTTAAATGCGGAAGTGAGTAAACCTGCATCACCGAAAATAATATTCCAATCGATACTTTGTGGCTTTAAAAATGTAACGCCCCTCATTGCAAATGTCGCTCCTGATATGTCTTTTTATTAATAGACACGTAAATGTCTAATACGATCAGAGCAATGTCTGTGTAATCTACCCCAGCACAGGCAGACTGATTAGATGTGGCAACGCTCTCAGATGGAGTGGTTTTATCAGCGATCAGGAAGCCATTGATTCCACTGCAGCAATTTCAACATCAGAGGCAGAGAAAATTAATCGAGAAGAGAAATGCGTATGACTAAATACCAAACCGGCCACATCTGCAGTAGTGGAGTCAGAACCCATATTAACTCTTTTTTTAAAAAAAGGGGGAATTTGAAAAATATCAGAAAAGTTTAAAAGGGCACGGGGGTGGGGGGGGGGGGGGTATCCAGGAGAATTGGACGAAACAGATTGCTCTTTCAGAAAGCCGCACAGACCACTTCTAAGTGCTTGAAGTGGCTCTCACTCCTGGGGCTGTCAACACGGGAAACATTGGGAGTGAGATTTATGATGACGGACTAGTTTGATCCCATGGGCTCTGGCAGAATACGCTTGAGAACATGTGAAAGATCTGCACTCACTGCTCTGAATAATAAAAATCCTTGCATTTGATAAAGCACCTTTCACATCAGGAAGAAGTCTCAAAAGTGTTTCCCAGGATATACTGTGAAGTGCTGTGCCTGTGTATTTTCTGGTCAA